ATTATTATTATTATTATTATAAATCTTGTTTATCTGTATCTTTTGCTACCCAGTCTCCCAATCTTTATGTACCCAATCTGAACATCTTTACCATTGTGATCATTGCTGTCTTATATGTGCTGTCAATCTGCTGTTTGGTGTCTATTAACCTTGTTTAAATTACTAATCAAGCTGTCAATGTAATTAATCAGAGCTTTATTATAACAATGTGCTTTAATATACCTACTTATCTCTCTCATCTCATTTTTCTCTTGTAATGTATCTATCATTTATCAATTCTGATTGAAATTACCAACTTAAAATTATCTGCTAGATTAAGGACCTGCCCGAAACGCTGTGCGTACTAGTGGCTTTACAAGAATGTAAATACTGTACTATCCAATGTATTCTCACAAACCCAATGTACCTTCTTGTATATATATAAATAAATAAATAAATAAATAAATAGATGGAATTACTGGTGTCAATTTCACTTTGCCTCAGATCTACAAGATCTTGTTGAAGTTCTCGGTGTACTGCTGCTCTCAGATTGCTCATTGACAATCCAAGGTTACACTCAACGGCTCCTTAAAAGGCAGATTCTTTGGCTAACTTATCAGCTCTATTATGCATTCGGAGGCCAACATGAGATGGAGACCACATGAAATGGACTCTGTTACCATCCTTAATAATTTTGTTATTTTGTTATATTTGTGTTTAGCTTCGGACACGAGCATATTACAGTTATGTCTTAAAGAGTTGAGAGCATTTAAGGATGATAAGGAGTCACTTACAATTAATGTATCAAGTTTGGAGACTTGTACACATTTCAGTGCAAGGATCAAGGCAAATAGTTCAGTCTGAAGGGTAGAGGCCCAGTTGTTTATACGGACTCCCCACTCAAAGTACAAACCATCGCCCATTGTCAGCACAACTGCACTTCCAGCTGCACCCGTGGTGCGGTGTAGGGAACCATCAGTGTATATGATTTGAGAGAGAGAGAATGCTCTGTGGACAGAGCATCAATATGGCTTAAGACGTTGAGCTTTGCCTCAAGACGAAGCTTGGGCTGATCTCTAATTTGCTTCTCGAGTGGAAAAGGAGGGATTAAAACTGGAAAGGGTGTAATCTCCCACAGTGCAGGAAAGTGCCATTGTTGTTTCTCTTGGTACAAATTATGAACCTGATACATTCTGAGTTGAGTTCCAGTTTTTGTTATCCATTTGGAACAATGCTGATCTTCAATAAAGAAATTCTGGAGGGCTTCTGTGCAAGGAGTAGGATGAGTTAGCCTAAGCATTTTTATACTAATTTGACAGTTAATTTCAGTTACACGATCAACAACGCTCGGAATATTAAGTTCCTTTCTCATATTAAGTATCTTTGTGGTACGAGGGCACCCAAGGATTATCCTCAAGGCTTCGTTCTGCAATTTTTCAAGCCTTCCAAGCTTTCTTTCAGGCATCAAAACAAGCAGAGGTGCAGCATAATCCACTAAAGATCTGATGTATGCAAGGCACATCATTTTGACAATTCTGATATTGGCACCATAGCCTGAGTGATAACCTGCAACAGCCTGAGAGCTCGGAGCCTCTCTTTATATTGACAACAGAGTCTGAATACAACAGGACCATACAGTGGCACCTCAAGGCCAAGGTATTTGAATCTGTTTACATAGTCAAGCTGGGAGCCATCAGACAGTTGCATCTTACGAATAGCTCCTCCCTGCCTGGGTGGGCGCCGATTGTGTATCTTTGTTTTCTCTGCTGATATAATTAAACCTAGATCCTGACATGAGTCTAATACAGAGTTAAGAGTATTCTGCGTGTTAGCATACCCAGTGGTGTGTATATCATTATATCATCAGCATAGCTAATGATGTGGACGTTGGGTTTGCTCGGTACAGAGTTTAACAACGTGTTTATTAAGATATTAAATAAGGTATGACTGAGGACACCTCCCTGCGGGGTACCTAGTTCAAAGTCTCTTGTTACACTCCTATGCCCCTGGAAAAATACAGATGACTTCCTGTTGGATAAGTAACCCCTGATCCAACAAAGAAGCTGACCACCCATATTCATTCTTGCAAGCTCACTCAAGATAACATGTCTATTTGCAATATCAAAAGCAGACTTGAGATCAAGGAAGGTGGTATATGACTTTTCAGTGTGCAGGGTAAGAAAGGTGGTGATGCAATGATGCACACTCCTTCCATGCATGAAGCCATATATCTGGAGGGATAGCATGGTTCTTATTCTATGGAGGAGACGGTTTAGGACCATTCTCTCGAATGTTTTGCAAATGCAGCTAGTAAGGGAAATTGGGTGTGTACGTGTTTCCCTATATGCAAGCCCAACTCATCTGGCAGTGCGTTTCAAAGTACGCAGTTTGGGGTCATTGTAATAAGCATGGTGTTTATTACCTTTCATATCGTTCCGGCTATTGGATGGTGCAGGGGGCCGACCTAAAGGGTCAGCAAACATCTGAATGCGCTGTACTAGACCGTCGTTAAATGTCTGGACTGTGGAGGGATCATAAGTGCTGTACCACTCTGACACATGAGCAACAAAGTCTTCACGTCGAGCAGGAGGAACACTGAGCCGTTTGCGCTTGAAAGTCCCACCGGGCAGGATGGTATTTCTTATACATAGAGTAGTCAATCTAGGGTGATGATCTGACAACAAATCTGTTACAATAGATGATGTGCACCAGACATGAGAGACGTTGAAACCAACACAGAGGTCTAGAATGCCTCCACAAATATGCGTGGGTTCAAGGTCGCCCACAATCTGCACATCTTGGTGACTATTTAGTAGCGACAGCAGTTGATTTCCGTTACCGTTACTGAAGCGAGAGCCACCAATGTCCTTGTGTCTAGCATTGTAGTCACCAAGAATGATGGTTGGCTCTGCTTGAGCGCAGGGCAGAAGATCAATATAATTTAACTTTCCTGCTGAAGCATATAGATTAAATACATTGAGGACAGAGTTGCCCACATAGATCCTCACTCCATGATAATGTTGACCAGCAGTTTGTTTATTATTATAGTGTATACCATTTGTTAACTACCCTGACACTGAAAATAATCTTTCTAATACCTTTGCAGCTCATTTGAGTATTAAGTTTTCCCCTGCGTTCTCAATGTTCGTGTTCTGGCAATGTTAAATAGTTTGTCTTTGTCCACTGTCAATTCCTCTGAGAATTTTGCAAGTTGGGATCATGTCTCCCCTAACTCTTCAATCTTTCACGAACGTGAGGTTTAATAATTCCCGTAACCTTTCCTCGTAACTCATACTTCTCGGTTTTGGGACTAGTCTGGTGGCATACCTCTGAATCTTTTCTAACTTTGTCTTGTGTTTAACTAGGTATGGACTTCAGGTTGGAGTTGCATACTCCAGGATTGGTCTGACATATGTGGTATGCAAGGTTCTGAATGCAGACGAGGAGTCACAATAACGTGGCTGAAATATGTTGACCAAACCATGTACACACTAGAAAGTGAAGGGACGACGACGTTTCTTTCCGAAACCGAATCGACCCACAATCGACTTGAGAATGGTCCAGGACGGACCGAAATGTCGTCATCCCTTCACTTTCTAGTGTATGGTTTGGTCAACAAGGTTCTGAATGATTCCTTACATAAGTTTCTAAAGGCAGTTCCTATGTTGGAACTATGTTCGAAGAAAACATGGAGCACAATTTCACAAATATTGGGATCAAAGAAGATTTTAAATAACAAGCCAACACTCCTGTCCAATAACGATGGTCGGCTTACAGCCTCTGATACTGTTAATGAGATCAATAGGTTCTTCTCTTCCATTGGGTCATCCCTTGCAAATGATATTCCATCTTCCAGTACTGATGTTCAGGACTATCTTACAGGTAATTATCCACAGTCTCTGTACCTAACGCCTGCAAATTCCACTGATGTTAATGAGATAATCCTTTCCCTTAAAACCAAGTCTAGTGCCCTTGAGGAGATACCAACTTTAATTTACAAAAAAGCCTCCAGATCTTTAGCCTCTGCTATTGCATTGCTCTTCAACAAGTCACTTGAACTCCAAATCTGTCCAGATATTCTAAAAAAAGCGAGAGTAACCCCTGTCCACAAATGTGGTGATTTCACTGATGTTAACAACTACAGACCTATATCAATCCTGCCTAACTTGTCAAAAATATTTGAAAAACTAATCTACAAGCAGCTTTACTATTATCTAGCCAAACACAATACAGTATACTTAGCTCTTGTCAATATGGCTTCAGACCCAAAAAAGCACTAACGATGCACTTATTAATATGATTAACTTGATTCATGCAGCTCTTGATAAAAATGAGTTCCCTGTTGGGTTATTTGTGGACCTGTGTATGCTTGTCATTATCATCATCTTTTTATGGTACGCATCTGTTATTTTTCTTTAACATTCAATTTTTGTTAGCTTACTTTTCTTTTATTATTAAGTGTTTACCCCTTCATAACTTTAAATAAATTTTAATCTAAATTCAAAGTTCTGCACAAAAAGCTTTGCGAAACAGTAGCTTCATTTGATTGTGTAACTCCTGTCCCCAAAATTGAACATTACTCTTATGTCCGTTGTACACATTCTTTTGAATAAACATTTGAATTTGAAATGTTCATAAACACTTGTATATTCAGTGCTATCATATTAAACCCCATTTCGTTTTGCATCTATACTCTTAACTAATTCATTTCCTGCCCGAAACGCTGCGTGTACTAGTGGCTTTACAAGAATGTAAATACTGTACTATCCAATGTATTCTCACAAACCCAATGTACCTTCTTGTATATATATATAAATAAATAAATAAATAAATAAAATAAATTTACCAACATTTTGACATGGTAATTATAAGCCAAAACTGAGCAAACATAAGAGGAATATAAACATTCTAAGTGTCACTGAGTGTGAGCTTGAGGTGCCCACAACATTTAACAGTTGGACATGCCCCCACGGATCAGAACATTAGTGTTAAAAGAATTATGTAGTAATCAAACAAGTACAATGTAAAGATCAATTTATTGCAGTGGAAATGTCATCACATAATTTCTATATAAAACAGGAATGTACAAGAAGACTGTAGAAGAACTCATACAAGACATATTTATAAACACCCACCCCCCCTCCACCCCCCAAATAAAGAAGGGTGAATGTTAATTAATTTGAATCACAAATTATCATAACTTAATTTTTACAAACATTTACAAAACATTATACATAATTACTTTTTATGAAACTATTAGATAAAAATGTAGTAAATGCAATTAAGTACGGTACAGGAAAATATTACACTGCTAGGTTATAAAATAAAACAATTCTAATAAATGGAATTTGGTCAAATTTCTTGCATTTATTTAATATATTTTGCTGAACTTCAGTTCATTTAATCTACTGAAGTTTACTGCAAGTTTTCTATAATAATAAAAAAAAAAAAAAAAAAAAAAAAAAAATCCTGTTTATTTTTTTTACATATTTTGATAGCCACTTCATGGAGAACTGCAATCTCCTCACCCCACAGAGATAGGTACCTAGTCCTTGTCTTTTTGTTGCGACCAAGAAATTAAATGTCTGGACTATTGACACACTATTGACAAAAAAAAATTATATTGGGTAAACTATTTACATATATACAAATCTCTTTATACACAATATTTTTTATATTAGATAAAATGATAGTCACTGATGAACTCCAAACACTGAAGCACCGAAGAAGTTAAATCTTAAACCTTTCAGTTAAAGTTTTATAACTTTGTTTATTGTTTCTTCTGTCAAAGTTTTCACTCATTATCTTTATATAGAACTGCACTATGATAAAAGACAGTAGCCCTTAAAACTGGACCAATATTATGAGCAGTAGTAGAGCCTACAAATACATTTTCCATGATAAACAAAAGATATTAGCCAAAGAAATTTAGCCAAATATACCTTGGAAGATTTAGTATAGTTCTCTATTACATTTTAATCTTTCCAAGGTGCTTAATTGATTAACATCATTTCATATAAATAAACCGTCTGCAACCAATACACTTTTGTTTTCTCTAAACACAGATAAACTAACAAGAACACATCTAGAATTTCAAGAATTTTTTGTGTAGACTTGATATATGGTTGTCTCATATATAAAACGAACAAAAAAATTATACCTATAAGAGAGAATGTCTGTTTGCTTGTTTGTCCATCCAAAGTTGAAGGCCAGATATTTGGAGCTAGCCTCACCCTACTTTCAAATATGAAGCATATGTGGTATGGAACTGTCATAGGCCACTTGGGAGTGGCTCCAGTGCTACACTTTAAGAAATATTGGCATCTAACCCCCCACCCCCACCCCCCTCAAAAATCCTGGGCAATTTTCATGAAATCAAATCTGAAATATTGATTTTTGTTGACCATAGATTTATTCACCAATTTCAATACTTCATTATATATATTTTCTGAAAGTGAGAGGGGGAAAAAGAAGAAAAGGAAGAAGGATATCTGATTAGAGGGAAGGAGAAGGCGAAGAGAAGGGATGTTTGAAAAGAAGAAAGACAGATGGAGAGCGTAAAAGAGGGGTGGGGAGGGGCGAGATTGAGAGAGGGGATGTTAGGGGAGAAGAGTGAAGTGATTGGGAGAGGGGACGATATTGGGAGAGAGGGAGGTGGATCTTGGAGGCAAAAGTTGCAGAGGGGGAATATGGGGAGAGAGAGGGATAGGAAAAAGAGTTGAGAGAGATGAGATGATTCCCCCCATGCACTCTGGCTCTTTAGTCCAGTAATTCTACCTCTGATGCCCCCTCTTTCAATACACTCCCAAGGTAATCGTCTAGGGTGCAGTAGTACCCCAGGATGCAATTCTTTTGACCATGTCGTGGCATAGTCATCTAGAGCATGCATCTGGGAACACCCAGTGCATAGGTTCGACTTCTCATCACGGCTCCTGTGAATTTTCTCATCGATATACTGTATCACAATAATGTGATTTCTCTGTGTATTGAAAAGGGGGGCATCAGAGGTAGAATTACTTGAAGACAGAGCCAGAGTGCGTGGGGAGAAATTGTGTGAAATCCCGGTTAGGCTTCAGTGGAGGGGTTAGGCTTCAGTGGAAGAATTGGGAATCGTCGAGGGTGCAGTAGTACACCAGGTTGCAATTCTTTTGACCATGTCATGACATAGTCATCTAGAGCGTGCATTTGGGAATACCCAGCACATAGGTTTCAATCCTCATCACAGCTGCTGTGGATTTTCTCGTTGATATATCACAATGTGATTTATCGGTGTACCACCATGATGCATAGGAGTCAAAAGTCTACCATTATTGTAACCAGTGACCACATGACCACAGTTTAGTTTGGAAACATGAAAAAATAAAATCTAGGGAACTAGAGTATAATTGTAGATGACATTTGTGTAGGCTCCCAAAAGCCTACATCTCATTTCATATTTCTCTGTGGATTTTCCGCATATATATATATATACATATATATATATATATATATATATATATATATATACACATATATATACATATATATATACATATATATATACATATATATATATATACATATATATATACATATATATATACATATATATATATATATATATATATATATATATATATATATATATATATATATATATATATATATATATATATATATATATATATATATATATATATATATATATATATATATATATATATATATATATATATATATATATATATATATATATATATATATATATATATATATATATATATATATATATATATATATATATATATATATATATATATATATATATATATATATATATATATATATATATATATATATATATATATATATATATATATATATATATATATATATACATATATATATATATATATATATATATATATATATATATATATATATATATATATATATATACATATATATATACATATATATATACATATATATATATATATATATACATATATATATACATATATATATATATATATATATATATATATATATATATATATATATATATATATATATATATATATATATATATATATATATATATATATATGTATATATATATGTATATATATATGTATATATATATGTATATATATATGTATATATATATGTATATATATATGTATATATATATGTATATATATATGTATATATATATGTATATATATATATATATATATATATATATATATATATATATATATATATATATATATATATATATGTATATATATATATATATATATATATATATATATATATATATATATATATATATATGTCGTACCTAGTAGCCAGAACTCACTTCTCAGCCTACTATGCAAAGCCCGATTTGCCTAATAAGCCAAGTTTTCATGAATTAGTGTTTTTTCGTCAACCTAACCTACCAAACCTAACCAAACCTAGCTTTTTTTGGCTACCTAACCTAACCTTACCTATATATATAGGTTAGGTTAGGTTAGGTAGGTTTGGTTAGGTTCGGTCATATATCTACGTTAATTTTAACTCCAATAAAAAAAAATTGACCTCATACATAGTGAAAAGGGTAGCTTTATCATTTCATAAGAAAAAATTATAGTAAATATAATAATTCAGGAAAACTTGGCTTATTAGGCAAATCGGGCCTTGAATAGTAGGCTGAGAAGTGAGTTCTGGCTACTAGGTACGACATATATACATATATATATACATATATATATATATATATATATATATATATATATACATATATATATACATATATATATACATATATATATATATATATATATATATATATATATATATACATATATATATACATATATATATATATATATATATATATATATATATATATATATATATATATATATATATATATATATATATATATATATATATATATATATATATATATATATATACATATATACATATATATATATATATACATATATACATATATACATATATATATATATATATATATATATATATATATATATATATATATACATACATACATACATACATACATACATACATACATACATACATACACACAATGGGGCCTCGACTTATGATGCTAATCCGTTCCCAGAGACGGATCGTAAGTCGAAATATTGTATGTCGAAGCGATTTTTCCCATAAGAAATAAAGGGAATTGAATTAATTCATTACCCACCCTCCAAAATATTAACATACAAATACATTTTTTACTGAATACAATGTTTTTTTTCTAACTATAATACAGTACCAAAGTGTCTCATGAAAGCTGCGCAAACACTGTGCGCCAACAGGCAACACCACCACCACTTCCTACCCAGGGCCAGACAGAGAGCCCGATAATCCCCGTTGAACCCCAAGGACGAGGTTAATGACAAGCGACACCAACCTCAACGAGAGTGAAGTCCTGAACGTCCCAAGGAAGAAAGCCCCTGAATACACAGGGGTAATTCTCCCCATGCCCTGGGAACCCCCAACACAGGCCCCCAGGGCAGAACCCACATCCGCGCCCACCGCCCCTCAAGAAAAGGCAGAGTCCAAGGGAAAAGCCTCGAAGAAGGGGGGAGGGGTTTCTGCTGAGAGAACCCCAGAAGCATCAGCAGGATGATTGGGATCAACTTCCTCCATACCTGCATCGATTGGGGCAGCCGCCTTAGCTGCCAAAGCCGCATCCCGAGCTCAGCCCTGCCCTGACTCAGAAACCCTCAGACGTTTGGGAACCAAGAACAGGGGAGGAGGAGCAGAAAAGACCACGCCCACTGGGGAAAGGAATCAGGGGAGTGGGTAAAACCAAGGTCAAAGCGACCAGCATCCTCAATTCAGGGTCCCTAAAAGCAAAACGGGACAGCTCCGGGGCATTCGACCAGGCCACAAACCAGGCAAGTTGCAACACCAAAAACCTAAACTGCATCGCAGCCGCTACTTGACCCATAAGTTCCTATGAAGATGAACGGGTAAGCTGGAGAACCAGTGGGGAACAAGTTCCACATGACCTCAGGTCATAGGTGTCCCCGACTTAACAAGTAGCATGATGGAGGCAGAACAATTGATCGTCACCCTGAGACAAGGGCAACAAACAACCTTCAAACTCGCACAAAGTGAGAGGTAACTCCGAAGACATATTTATAGCCCCAAGGGGTTTACCAAGCCTTGCAGGAGTAGTAATCTCAACAGGAAGCCCAGGCACTGGCGTAGCTAAGCCTATTGAACTCCGTCTAATACCAGGTAAATGGACCCCAAAAAGCTGTGCGTGCAACCTCGAGGGGCCCAGAGGAGGGCCACCAAACACAACCTAGGCCAACATAATCAGAAGCTAGGCGAACGTAATCAGAAGCTAGGCAGACCTCCTCTAGGAAATAACAGAAAACTAGAAACCCTCGAAATTACACCACAACAACCAGAGGCCAGAGAGAGAGACACGGCCGCCGAGATTATGAAAGCTGCGCAAACACTGTGCGCCAACAGCCAACACCACCACCATTCCCTACCCAGGGTCAGACAGAGAGCCCGATAATCCCCGTTGAACCCCAAGGACGAGGTTAATGACAAGCGACACCAATCTCAACGGGAGTGAAGTCCTGAACGTCCCAAGGAAGAAAGCCCCTGAATACACACGGGTAGTACCTACAGGGCGCCAAGGGAAGGTAACCCTAAATGCATGCAGCCCGAGTACGCTATAACACCTGGCCAATGCCCCAACACACCGCAGGCACACCATACAAGGTAAAATCCTGACAGGAGAATAAGCCAGCGATAATGTTTGCTCTATAAGACATCAGTCGACAAACTGCCGGTGTCAGCGCTTGGCTGCCTGGGAAATGCCCCCTTCCCTGAAAGGGGGAAAGGTTGGGGGGTGAAGGTTGTCACTAATGAGTGGGCACAATGGTTGAATGGATGTTTATGTGTTTGTTGTTTTCTCTTGGGGGGAGTTTTTGGGCTCTGTCGGTCTTGGGTTGCAATGTTTTACCAGTTGGGGGTTTGTAATGGTCCTCCTACCTTTCTGGGTGATACCCCCAGTTGATGGCAGACATGACTACACCCTCAGAAAGTGGAGTGTTTATAACCCATTGCTCCCTTCACCTCTTTGAGGGAACCAGGTGCTGACTCGTAGTTCCCGGTAGGCTCAAAACTCCAATTAACTGATGCTCTAGACTAATATAATGGATATCAGACCGTTAGCTTCAAGGAGCCGATACATCAGGCTGCAAGCAGCTGTGTCGAACAGCCTGGTTAACCAGTCCAGCATCCAGGAGGCCTGGTTGTGGACCGGGCCGCGGGGATGTTGAGCCCCAAAATCATCGCAAGGTAACCGCAAGGTAGCATTGTCATTCAACAGGATTATAACATTGTCACAGCCTTGTCAGGGGTGATATTTATCCAGAAAGCTTTGCACTTCTCCTATTTTGCACACATTTTTTTATTAGAAAATTAGATTTAAGTATACCAAACTCAGTAACATGAGCAGACACATGGGTACCACTTATATATTTAGCTACGAGTTTTTTCATCTCTATCGTGGGGTCTAACCATTTTTCTTTTTGTTTGGCTCTTATCACTAACTTTCTTAGGTGACATGATGACTTATTTTTAATATTCTTAGTGCAAATATCTAAAATATCCTAGAGAAAAGTGTAGTGGGTTGTGTACTGAACTACAGTTATGGTGAGACTGACACGTCACAGATGTGTGTTTACGTAAGAATGCTGAGCAAACTGATATATAATGAACACGAACACAACATCCGAATGCCGAAAAGTACAAATTGGCAGTGATCCAAATGCCAAAAAATATGAATTGGGAGTGGTCTGAACACCAAGGTTCCACTGAACATAAATTTATTGATAGAGAGCTACATTATAATGTTCCCAGGAACCCAAGAGTTAACATGTGTCTACTATATAAATTTATATAGTATGTATTAAGTAAACCAGACAGCAGGGGAAAATAAAGAGTAGAAGGATAAAAGTAATAACACTATTGCAAACTGCTCCACAACTGACATTTGAACTATAACCACTTTAATATTGGGAAGTTGGTCACAACAGTATTTCAAAATGACCAGCATTCATGTATAATCCCAGTGAAAAACATGACAAATCCAAAATTGGAAGTTTTAACACTACTACAACATGACAAATATTCAAGACAAAATTTTAATGAACAAAGATCACTCTCTGAATTTATATAAATACACATTTTTACTGAAAATGTTGATATGCAGTACAGTATCTCCCATTACCCAAAAGTCTTTCATCAATATCACATACACCAGTATATCAAAACACAACATCTATCTTATTTGGTCTGCCATCATTGTCTCTACCCTGAGCAAACTAACGAAGGATGCATCATCACATATGGCCACTTGATTATATGTATATAACATTTCTGTACAATATTCTTGGTCACTTTGGCAACAGCATCGGAAATAAATTGATTTAATTTGTCTGGCACCTTTCATATACAGTATGCTTTTCAAAGGAAGCATTGCCACCTTAAGCACACGAAAACACATTCATTAGAATAACGATAATTTCTTATGTGATATTCCAATTTATATAAAATTGACATTCACAAATACATTTTATATTGGTATTAAATTTTGCCTCATACCACCAAACACATATTCCAACTGGCACCTTACAAATTAAAAGGTTTTCAATTATTTAATGTACATTGAAGTGGCTGTATATTTGTTGTCATGTGAAATTGCTAACATATGCATTTAAATACAGTATAAAAATACTTAAATTATATTAACACTACAGCTGAAGAAAATGGAATACAGAGTATGTTAACTCAGAACCAGGTAATATCTGAAATGCATTTCATATGTAAAAATACATTAAATTTAATAAAAGTTGTTTCTGTGAATGAAATTTCAAACATCAATACTGTACATTAACAAATTAGCCACTATTTGTGCATATTATAGCAGCTTAACACTTACCAATGACAACAATTTTAATAAATTGTAATGGCAAATACAGCTGTATTTTCTACATAACTAAAAAATATCACGAAGTAAAATAATTAAATATTCTAAAACAATTAACTAATTATGTTCTACTTCCCTTATCAATTTCGGCATAAGATGGAAAATCTGCTATGTCTACCACTTCCTCCATTTTATAGGAAGGATATAGACCATTTTGTCGAGTACGGCGATTAACACCCTTGGAGTAACCATCCCAGTGGTTACCTGCAATGCCCACTATGTCACCAGGCTTGAGGGCCATCTCGTCAGATCTGCTGGAAAACAGAGAATGAGTCTATGAACTGAATTATTAATTGTAATTTTAGCCCTACATAATTCCAAATTTAGTTATCCATAAACAGGAAGTGCAAGAAACCAAAATGTTAGGTAATGTTTTTATTGTAATATTGATACCTAATAACCATTTTGAATTGGGGGGAAAAAAAAACAGCGTTAAATGTAATGAAACGCCGTTTTCTGGGTGAGACCCGGAGGCTCCCTAGAGCTTAACCAGGCTGATATGCTAATGTCAGACTTTGGCATCAGTCATGTGTATGGAGTTCTATGGGCCTACTGGGGACCACGAGCCAGAACCTGGCCCCCTCAGAGAGGCAAGGGGAGCAATGGCCTATAGAAACCCCCATGTGGTTGGAAGAATTCTATGTCTGCCATCGACCGGGTCAGGCACCCAGAAAGGTAAGCGTCCCAAAACAAACCCCTATTCTGGTGAAAATTGCTACCACAAGCCGAACAAGTGGATAGAACTCCCCTAAAAGAAACGATCATGACATCACACGTCGCTGCACCACTGTCTGTGAGCTCCCCCCCTCCCCAGGAGGGCGAAGGGGGAGCCCCAGACCTACTGTGCCAGCTATCCACCATCAGTTCTGAGGCTGGATGTTAAAAAACGCAAAAAAAATGCTGACTGGAGGGAGGGAGGGATGCCGGGGAGCCTCCAGGTCTCACTCAGAAAGTGGCATTTCATTACATTCAATGCTGGTTTTCTGGGGGCGGAGCCCATTTGGCTCCTTGGAGCTAACTACCCACAGAGGAAATAAGAGGGACGTACCCAGGAGGAGGTCGCCGCACACTCCTAACTCAAAGTCGAGACAACTGGCTGCAACCGCCAACCCAAGGTGACACAGGCCCCGAATGGGCCCGGGAACGACCACGAGATATCGAGCAGCCAGGCCCCTGTACGACCGCCAAAAGCCCCGTGCCCGAATGTCAGCTAGGACATGCCGCCAAGACGGCAGCAAGAGCAGCAAAACCACAAATGTCATGGGCACGGGGTTAGAACGCAGGCTGGCTAGACTCAATAACACGGTGGACGACCTGGGAGACCCCTCACCTGCGAACAGGACAGGACCGAAAACCAAGAATAAGCACAGAAGAGGACCAACAAGCCCTAGAAAGGACCGGATGGAAGCCACACCGAAAGACGACAGACGTTCCAATAATACGGGAAGTAGCGAAAAACCTTCCCGAGCCGTCAAGAACACACAGAAGCAGGCACAAATCACGAAGGCTCATAAAGGCACAGTCGCACCCGAGATCAAAAGTCATGCAGAACCGCAAGAAGAGGGGAACATGATGGAGAAGTCCCGTCCCAAGAAAAAGGGGAGAATAATGGAGAAGAGCACCCACCGACAGGACAGAACCAACTGACTCAAGGGACAAGGAACCGAGCCTGGAGAGGGGCCGATGCCCAACAACTCGTACAAAGAGGGGGGGAGGAAAAAAACCCACTCCGCGTAACTGCAAGCCCCGCTCAGACAGTAGAAAACCCCCAGTGAGGTCCAACAGGGCCCTAGGCCCCCAAGTCAGCCCCTCCCCAACCTCAGGAACCCACACAGCAGGTCCCGGGGCTAAGCCAGCCCCCCAAAGCCCTGGCCTCACAAGAAAAACCAGGGCAGCCACAAAAATACTAAGGATGGGAGCCCACTGGCAGACTCATAGAACACGGCTGGAGGAACAAGCTCGAATACCCCCGTCGCTACCCCGGAAGGGGAACTCCCTGAGATCGCCCGAGTCTCAAAACCAACGAAGCTCCGCCCCTACCCTGATCCCACAGACGGTAAGGATCCGGATACAGGTAGGAAGGGGGGGACCAGACTAGACCACCACAGGGGAAAGACAAGGGGGTGTGGAAGGAACCAAAGCAACCAACACCCCCAAGCCCCAACACCAACCAAAACGGGGGGCAGCCTCGGAGCTTCCGGGGAGCAAACAACCGAGAGCGTTGCCACCATCAAAGCTCAACGTGCAACGCTCGTGCTGCCTGCACCCACATAGTCAGCATAAGACTGGGTAACTGAGTCACAAACAAGCAACAAAACTCACAGGACTCTGGGCCGAAGGCGTCACTGACCCCACAGGCAGCAGATGGAGACAAAGATAGAGAGAGTCACCAGGAGACAAGGGGATAGAGCAACCCTCAAACTCGCTGGAAGCGAGGGGGAGACTTCGGGGTCACATCCATCGAACCCGCGTGCCCCCAGGGGTTTCCCAGGGTCCTGAGCATTTACTATAATAGGACTCGTACTCAGGTAATCCCAGGCAGGGTACTGCTAACCAGCGCCCAAGTCTACCAAACAACCTTCTAAGAACTGAACACCCGGGACATGTACACTCACAGAGACCTAGCAGGGGGAAACCACCGGAAGAAGGAAGAATACTCAGTACACAGGGGACACAGGGGGCAAGAACGAAGGCAGACCACCCTACCAGGCAAACAAACAAAAAGAAAAAAGAAAACCCTGCAAGAGGACAGCGTACCCAGGCGGAACAGAGCCGGCCGCCATGATTGGTGAAAACAAGCTGCGCAGTACCCTGCACCCCGCCAGTGCAAACTGCCCCTTACCCTAAGACAAACAAGGGAGATAGAACACCCGAGCACACAAAGGGAGGCCAAAAACCAAACAGTAAACGGCCTAGCAGGGGCAGAACCCAAGGAACTTGTGGAAGGTGGCCCCAAGCCCCAAGGGCAGCACTTACAGGGCACCTAGGGAAGGAAACACTAGGCACATGGAGCCCAATTACTGGAGAATCACTCCCAGCTCACACACCATCTAGAAGACAGTCACCACAGTCTAGGTACAGTGCTGAAACAGCAACCGGAGCCGGAGCACATGACCTCAGCCTCTAGTATCAGCCGAAAAACTGATGGTGGATAGCCGGCATGGTAGGTCTGGGGCTCCCCCTTCCCCCTCCCGGGGAGGGGGGAGCTGCGCAGACAGCGGCGAGGCGATGTATGATGTCATACTAGTTTGCTCGTTTTTGTTTGGGGAGTTCTATCCACTAGTTTGGCTTTTGGTAGCAATTTTAACCAGAATAGGGGTTTGTTTTGGGATGCTTACTTCTCTGAGCGCCTGACCCGGTCGATGACAGACAGAATGCTTCCAACCACACGGAGGTTTCTATAGGCCATTGCTCCCTTTGCCTCTCTGATGGGGCCAGGTTCTGGCTCGTGGTCCCCGGTAGGCCCATAGAACTCCATACACATGACTGATCTAGACCACACATGTGGGCCACACAAGTGAGCCACAAGTGGTCCACAAGCTTACGATGTTGGGACAGAGTTCACAGACTGGTGGAAAACTGTCTCATTCTATCACAAATTACAATTAATAATTACTTCATAAGACAAGTTGGATCACACAAGTGGACCACACAACAAGTGAACCATATGAACCAAACACCAGCCAGAATGGTCCACACAACAAGTAAAGCATATGAACCAAACATCAGCCAGAGTGGTCCACACAAGTGAACGACTGAGTTTCAATGATTTTCGTTCACTGATTTGTGTCACACGTATCTTTGTAAATTAATTTAAAGGCCGAAGCGCGAATAGCTAGCTTATGTGTTGAAATCTTCTTATATACATTTTCTGTGATGAAACAAGATGAGTGAGGGTGGACAGATAAGGGCATACTGTATTGTAAACTTCCCTTTACAGTGAGGTTTCACTCACTTTCGTCTGTGTCGTCATAGTTCAATAACCCATGACTCTGAATGTTTCAGATTAATAAATCATTTCTGAAACTGGTGTTTTAATAACTCTATTATCCTAATTAAACTAAACTAAATAAAACCAAAAAATATACTGTAATATGATAGATATCTGCTATTTGAGAAATTATTCATGTTATTGGTGGCTCACCGAGTGGACAGGTCTAATCCATGAACACACAACACCATGCTTGTTTTGTTCAATTTCGTCGCCATAGTTCAGCGACCTACGGCTTCAAAATAATAAAATTAATAAATCAGTTCTAAAATAAGTATTTTTATAGCTCTTATTATCATAATAATGTTGCTAAACTAAATATATAACCCAAAAATACATAATTTGATGTATATCCAATATTTGAGAGAAATTTATGTTACTGGAAATCAAACACAACACCGTGCTTGTTTTGTTTGATTTTGTCGCCACAGTTCAGTGACCTACGGCTTCGAAATAATAAAATTAATTAATCAGTTCTAAATTAAGTATTTTTTATAGCTCTTATTATCATAATAATGTTGCTAAACTAAATATATAACCCAAAATGATATAATTTGATGTAAATCGAATATTTGAGAGAAATTTAAGTTACCGGATCTGGCTTAAACACCAGCCTGCTGTAGGGTGTACATATAGACCTAGTCTGCGTTCGTACAGTATGCACCCAGTGCCCTTAGTAAATACAGTATTTAACCGCCAGTGGAAGAATAATCGTGAAATTTACCATTTTTTGACTACTGCTGTATCGTATACAACAAAATGTCTCAGGGGCTTACTAATATTGCCTTATTAATGCCAAAAATTAATCAGTATTTTGCAAGAACTTGTAGCAGAAAATCAACCAGCACGAGCACAGCCGTACCCAGCACGAGAACAGCCGTACCCAGCACTGGTACAACAGCAGCCAGCACCAGCTCAGAAGCAGCTGAAGCCATAGCAGCAGCAAGCAGCAGCAAAGTTGATGCAAACATCTAAAAACATCGTGTGGTGTGAACTTAAATTTAACAAGTGTTAAATTTAAGTGTGTACATAGTGTTAAAATTAAAGTTGCAGTAATTTTACTGTACAATAGTTTTCATAAACTGTATTGTAATACTGTACCTTACCTGGACAAACATTAGATTTTTTTTTTTCGGAACAGTATCGCAACGTAAGAGCGAAAAGGGTAAGGAAAAGAGAGCGAAACACACCCCCAGGAACAACAGGACCGATGAACCCGAAGGAACACGGAACCGAACCCAGGGAGGGGTATACCCGAAAACAACAGGAACACAGAGGGAAGGAACAACCCCACTCTGAGGAACTGCCAGCCCCTCACCAAAGGCACAAGGACCCAAGAGGGGCAAACGGGGCCGAGGCCCCCCAGGCAACCCCTTCCTAACCCCGGGAACCTCGACGGCATGACCCAGGGCCGAGCCGCACACCCCCAAAGCCTTAGCTTGACAAGGAAAAGCTGGGGCAGCCGTGCAAACGCTAAGGAAGGGAGCCCACTAGTCAGACCCATACAGCACGGCTAGAGGAACCGACTCGAATGCCTCCGCCGCCACCCCGAAAGAGGAAACCCCCGAGACCGCCCGAGTCTCAACCCAACCAGACCCCGCCCCAACCCCGAAACCCTCCTATGGTTCGGAGCAGGAAGCAAGGGAGGAAGTGTGTAGAACAGAAGGGGAAGGACAAGGAACGGAAGGAGCTAGAGCCGAAGCTACCCCCACGCCAAGTCCGGACCCCAACCACCAAAACGGGGCAGCCTCGGGGCATCCGGGGCCGCAAACAACCAAGAGCGTTGCAACAATCTGCAACCAGCAAGCAACGCTGCAGCCGCCTGCACCCGATTAACATGACCAGTGGCCTGGGTGAAAGTGAGCACGTACCGACAACACTCGCCGTATGACTCCGGGTCAAAAAAAAAAAAAAAAAACAATGACCCCAACAACCAGCATGGCGGAGGCACAACCAGTGAGTGTCACCCTGAGACAAGGGGACAGATCAACCAACAAACTCGTAGGACGCGAGAGGGACTCCGGGGACACACCTATAGGACCACGGAGCCCATGTGTAGTTTTCCCGGGCCCTGAGCCATTGGTACACGCTAAGGGAAGTCCAGGCAGGGTACTGCGAACCGGCGCCCAATACTACCAACAAACTGCTAAAGCTGAACCCCCGGGACGTGTTCACTCATGGGGCCAAGCGGGGAGTACCACCAACAGAAGGAATCAAAAGAAATCACCTAGAAAAGGAATGGGGGACCACAAAGGCAGACCCCCACCAGGCAAAAACAAAAGAAAAACCCCGTAAGAGGACAACGTATCCAGGCAGAACAGAGCCGGCCGCTGTTATGGTGAAAACTAGCTGTGCAGTACCCCGCGCCACTACCAGTGACGAAAACTACCACCTACCCAGAGACAAACCAGGGCAACAAACCCCCAGCCGACTCCAAGGGCGGCCCAGTACCAAGCAGTAAAGGACACAGTGGAGGCAGAACCCAAGGTGACTTGTGGAAGGTGGCCCCAAGCCCCAAGGGCAGTACTTACAGGGCACCTAGGGAAGATAGCCCTAGGCACATGCAGCCCGAGTACCGTGGAATCTTACTCCTGGCTCACACCCCACTGGTAGAGACAGTCCACACTACAAGGCACAGAACTGAAACAAAAACTGGAGCCAGAGGCACTCGACCAGCCAGTAATACCATCAGCCAAGAACTGCCAGTTGGATCGCCGGCGTGGAGGGTCTGGGGCTCCCCCTTCCCCCTCTCGGGGAGGGTGGGGTTGCGCAGACGGTGGTGCAGCGACGTGATGACGTCATGCTAGTTTGATAATTTTGTTTGGGGAGTTCTGTCCACTCGTTCGGCTTTCAGTAGCAATATTTTCACCAGAATAGGGGTTTCTTTTGGGGCGCCTACCTTTCTGGGTGCCTGTCCCGGTCGATGGCAGACATAGAATGCTCCCAACCACAAGGGGGTTTCTATAGGCCATTGTTCCTCGTGCCTCTCTGAGGGGGCCAGGTTCTGGCTTGTGGTCCCCGGTAGGCAAGAACTCCTAGCACTTTGACTGATGCCAGAAAGTTATACATATCCATTCAGCCTGGATAGCTCCAGGGAGCCGACGGGGCTCCCCCCAGAAAATGGCAATTGGGGCCCCTGCTTGGTACATGGAGACCAAGGACCAAGTTCCTGATTTACATGAATGACCATCCAAAAGATGTAGGACCCTCCATAACAATGTTTACATACTATACAAATCTAATGAAAAGGGCAAGGACTGAAGATGAACACAAGATACTAAAAGAAGACCTAGATAAGCTGCAGGATTGGGTGGACAAGTGGCTGTTAAAGTTCAATCCCAAAATATGTAAAGTACCATAATGAAGTTTCAGAGAAGGAAGAATAGTCGAGATGAACAGTCCAGTATGAGAGAGAGAGACAGCAGTAAGAGTCGGAGGAATAGAACCTGGGTGTGGATGTAACACTAGTACTACACAAGTAGAATAACAGCAGCATATACATAACTGCCAAACAAAAGCATTTGGAAATCTGTGAAAGGAGAAATCTGTGAAATGAATCCTTCTGTACAAAATCAATGCAATGTCAGCAGATACAGCGTGTTGGAACTTGAATAAATTCATACTCAGCTACTGTATTATTTCAATAATACTGTATATAACATTTATTAATACTATTCATCACATTCCTTGTGTGTGTAAAATGCATGCCTGAGGAATCTTTTGCACCTAGGCAGAGTTTTGTTAGATATATATGTGCAATGCTATAACAGCTGTACATAATGAGTAAATTGTGGAATGCCAAATAGAAATATGGCCGCTGGCTTTTGGAGTGGACCTTCATGCACAAATGAACAAAGTGACAATCATCATATTGTGAATTTTAAATACCTGTAATGACATGGACATAAAGATTTATATTCTGTATTACATTAATCTTTTATTTGAAATGTACTTACATTTTAAAACTTAAACAGTTATGGCCTGAAGACTTTATCAGTCTTTCTTCATGAAAAATCTAAGTTATATAACTCTGTGCCAAACTGATATCAATTATGACGAACACTAAAATACCAAATTACCTTCGTGGAGTGTGCGGAAATCGGGCTCTTTGATTGTGAGCATTCTGCCCACCATAGTAGTAAACATCATCCAAGGATCTGTAGTAACTGGAGGCATCTGGATGGATACTTTGCATTATTTCATATGCTATTCGACATACCTGAAAGAAAAATAATTTGAAGCACAAGAAGCACTCATGAAGTTTACATCTCCCATACAATTAGGTGAAATACCCCCAAAATATACCTTTGGGTGAATATGAAATGCAACTTTTACAGCTATATCTTTCTGGTGTTGCACAAGATAATATTTGCTGTGTCCTATGGACAAGGATCATAACAGTCCGGTAGAAAACGGTCTACACTAGTGTCACCAGGAGTGTTTTATGTGGCCCTGTATATAGGGATATAAAAGGGCTAGGAAGAACCGCAGGTCCAGAAGTCCAGAAAGAACCGCAGGTCCGCACAGTCCTGTTTCGGGACTGGGAACAGATGGGAAACCCACCTGATGGACATCATTATTTCGACCACGCCCAAGCATACCCCCGACTTCCGGGAGGAACCCCCTCGGGACCGCCGAAGGACCAACAAGTCCGACATCGGATGACAACTAGAAGAGGCTGCCTGCAGAAACTGCCTGCTTGATACCTGCTTGATGGGGTTCTGGGAGTTCTTCTACTCCCCAAGCCCAGCCAAAGGCCAGGCTTGACTTCTGAGAGTTTGGTCCACCAGGCTGTTGGACCAAACAGAGTGGTCCGGCACTTTTTTTAGAAAACAGTCTAGTTTTCTCTTGAAGATGTCTACGGTTGTTCCGGCAATATTTCTTATAGTCGCTGGTAGGACATTTGAACAACTGTGGGCCTCTGATGTTTATACAGTGCAATGGCACAATCAGAATGCCCAATCGCAGACTCCACAAACAGCAAGGAACAAGAAGGTGACGGAAACTTAAGGGCCAGGTCCCTAAGCAGATTCCAATGAGGAAGTGAGCACCAAATGCCAACACGTGAGACACGAAGCGAAAAACTGACACCACATCCCACAGGATCGGTACAAACATCACCAGCAGCGCAGATGATGCACACACCACCGAGACCAAGGCACCAGACCCAGGAATTGCCCCCCAGCACTTCTACATCCTCGTGAAGCCAATCCAAAGACAGCTCCAGGATGAAAAAGAACTGCAAGACTGAAGCCAGCAGGCCATGAGTGTGCAAGTCTTCTGCCACCAGGGCAGCCAAAAGGGAGGAAACCTGCAAGTGAAGCTGAACCATCCCAACATTCCGCTGAAAGGCAGGGGCGAACAAACATGCATTGAGGTGCTTGAATTTGCCCCTCGGATAAACCTGGATCACCATCAACGCCTCGTGCCACTCAAGGGTGCGGATGCGACAGAAAGTACTCCATGCATCTAATGACAATGCAGTGCAGTCCGCTAGCCAGGACAACTTCAGAACCTCATAACGAACCTAGGATGAAGACGAAGACCCAAACCTGAAAAAAAGACAGATCCATTACAGAGGCATAATCTGCGTCGCGCAGGAGGTAAGCCACAATGGCTGCCCGCACCTTTCGACGTGGGAAGCCGAAAACCTCCGGAAGAATGGAACCGACAGACCCGAAGGGACATGGGACCGAACTTAGGGAGGAGCCGATGCCAAATCCAACTCATACGCAGAGGGGGGGGGGGGAGAAAACCCCACTCCTTGTGGGGTTTTCCCCCACTCCAACCCCCGCTCAGAGGGTAGGAAAACCCAGGCGGGGTCCAATGGGGCCCAAGGCCTCCAAGTCAGCCCCTACCCAACCCTGGGAACCTCCAAGCTATGACCTGGGGGCTGAGTCGTCCTCCAAAGCCCCGGCCTCCCAAGAAAAAACTGGCGCAACCAGAAAGGCAGGAAGGAAGGGGGCCCACTGGTCAGACCCTGTTGCCACGGCTGGAGGAACCAACTAGAATGCCTGTCGCCCCTTCCCCCCCCCCCCCCCTTGGAAGGGGAAACCCCTGAAACTGCTCGAGTCCAGAACCTTCTAAACCCTCCCCCAACCCCGAAACCCTCAGACACTTCAGAGCCGGAAGCAGGGGGGGGGGGTCCATAATGAACCACAGCAAGGGAAGAATGAGGGGGGGTGCGGACTGAACCAAGGCTGAAGCGAACAACACCCCCAAGTCCGGGTCAGCAATCAACCTAGCGCATTGCAGCAACCTAAATCTAACATGCAATGCCTGAGCCACCTGCGCCCAGATTAAGTCATTAGAGGACTGGGTGAATTGAGTCACGAACAAGCAACAAATCTCACAGGACTCTGCGTCAAAGGTGTCACCAACCCAACAGGCAGCATGACAGAGGCAAAAACAGTGAGAGTCACCCTGAAACAAGGGGACAGAGCAACCCTCAAACTCACACAAGGCAAGAGGGGGACCCAGGGGGTTGCATTCATCGGACCCCTTGTGCCACCGTGGGGTTTCCAGGGCTCTTAGACTGGTGTCGCTAAGAGTAAGCTCAGGCAGGGTACTGCAAACTGGCACCCAAGTCTACCAATCAAACCTTTAAAAGCTGAACCCCCGGGATGTGTCCACTAACAGGGGCCTAGCAGGGGGTACCACCCAGAAACACATATGTATTGAAACCTAATACAGTATAGATAGGGGGGCAATGAACCAAAGGCAGACCCCCACTAGGCAGGAAAATAAAAACACAAGAAAAACCCTTCAAGGGGACAACGTACCCAGGCAGAACAGAGCTGGCCACTATAATAGGTGATAACTAGCTGTGCAGTACCCTGCATCCCTACCAGTGCAAACTACCCCTTACCTTAAGGTAAACAAGGGAGGAGGAAACCCCCCCCCCCCAGCACACTCAGGGTGGTCAGTTACCAAGCAGCAAAAGACCAACAGAGGTAGACCCCAAGGTGACTTGTGGAAGATAACCCCAAGCCCCAAGGGTGGTACTTACAGGGCACTTACGGAAGGGAACCCTAAGCACATGCAGCCTGAGTACCTGTGAAGATTACTCCTGGCTCACGCACCACCCTGAAGACAGCACTAAACACAAGGCACAGCAATGAGACAAGAAACAGGAGCTGGAGTCACATGGCCAAGCCTGAAACACCTCAGCCAAGAACTGAGGTGTGGATAGCCAGCATGAGGATCTGGGGCTCCCCCTTCCCGGGAAGGGGGGGGGGGAACTGCGCAGACAGCAACGTGGCACATGGTGACATCATGCTTGTTTGCTTGTTTTTCTTTGGGGAGTTCTGTCCACCCATTTGAATTTTAGTTGTAGTTTCAACCAGAATAGGGGTTTGTTTTGAAATGCTTACCTTTCTGGGTGCCTGACCCGGTTGATGGCAGATATGGAATGCTCCAAATCACATGTGCATTTCTATAGGCAATTGCTCCTCGTGACTCTCTTGGGGGAGGGGGCAGGTTCCGGCTTTTGGTCCCCAGTAGACCTAAGAACTCCATTCACACTGACTGATGCCAAATTCTAATAGTTCCATATCAGCCTGGATAAGCTCCGGGGAGCCGAAGGGGCTCTCCCCAGAAAAAAGGATTGGGCTAGCCAGAGAGCAGCGGCAGGTCAAATGAAAACTAATGCAGGATTAGCCTAATGACATTTAGCCACAAACCATCGATGCAGGTGAAGAAGTTTTTGGTAGCTATCTTTTCTGTAAAGACTTGGTTGGGCTTTCAAAATCCTCAGGCATAGATCTCAGCACAAGACATAGCCAAGAATGCCAAATCATAAATCTGGACTCTTGGTCAGGCTTGTGACTAACTTAAGCATAGGGATACCAGCACCAAATAAATAACTACGAAGATGACTCGCCGTGAGCGCCCATCAGCAACAAAATGTTTTTACTCTTGGGATTGTAATCACCTCCACACTTATTCTACAGCGTTAATTTTGGTATCAATGGACTCGCAATGAAATTCCCAACACGGTGATATGAATATAAGCGTAGAATAATGATGCGGCCCGCCCGCAAGAGTGTGGGAAGTGGTGAAATTGTTACCCGGTATCGGTGACGGGACGACGCACGGCGCTTTGAAAGTTTATACTTATTTCACTCTCATGACATTAATTTTCTATGTACGTCATTCATTTTTGTGTCAATGTGTTCGCAATAGAATGTTCTATGTGCCCATAGGTAAAAAATATCAACAAAGCGTAAGTTAGAATAGCGCCAAATATAAAACAACGCTGGAACATATCAGTGAGCGTCAAACACACACGAAATGTTTTTACTTTTGTTATGTTTGTCAAGTTTATACTTGTTGCACACAGTTATTTTTGGTTGTATATTGATCGGAATAAAATTCCCTAAACAGACATATGCATATAATACATGATATGGGGGAAGCATTACCAGTATAAACGGCTAAAGTCACCCACCTGCAACCCGTTTGGGACAAAATACCATTTGATCGAAGTTATCCACACCTTTCATGAACTTATTGTACCATGCAGCCTAGTGGTGAGAAAGAGAGCCTCATAGCGCGCAGTTTGAAACAAACCCAAAGTAAATCGGATAAAAATTGAATTTTATACAAATATTTTAAAAGAGGACTCAACTTTATGTCCACTATGCGTTAGCGTTAGACGAAACGGGACGCGCCGGCGCGTCCAGATAGCGCGAAAGTGTTAATTTAAGCCATCATTGATAGAATAAAAAAAAAAATATGTAAGGTTCAGTACACAAAAATGGAGTCAGAACTAACATGGTGCAAGGACTGTAAGTAGTGTCAGAGTAATGACTGGACAAGTGTATGGTAGACATCAGGATGCAGGAATCAAACCTTAACAAGAATTAGATACCTGCAAAATGTAAGTTTCAGTTTTAACTGAAAACTTAGAATTTAGATGAAGTTGAACAAACATAGCATCTCTACTCGACACCACAAACTATAACCACTTCAGCAATTTACGAAGCTCACTGAATCGACTGCCAGTGGCGTGGGACAAGAAAACGAGTCCTAAAAGTTAAACAAATAAGAGGAGCAGGTAATTTAAAATTAGCAGTAATAGTCTAACACTGCATCTAATGAACAGGCAGGTTCAACAATAGCGCAAGATGGACAAAGATGGAAGAAGGCTAAACTGAGTTGTATGAACAGATCAGCCATGAGATTTAAGCCAATTAAAAATGGCAAAGAACCCAATAAGACTGACAAGAAGCAAGAGTATTAGGCATATATATCCCTCTCAAAAATATTAATGAATGTTTATTCAGTACTTTACTGTAAAATAAATTGAGAGTAATGAATACAATAACGTTAAGTCAATAATTATAAGACCTTAGCATATTTTATTTTATTTTCACATGTATTTCAAATTCCTTTTTACTAATTTAGAGCTCTCCCTTCCTACAACTAACCTTAAACCTTACCCTGCTAGTTTTCCAAGGAAAACTAGCAAGGTAAAGTTTTCCACTGTAAAACTAATCTATTTAAAACTAGGACCCAAATTACTATACCACTGGAAGACAGGAGAACAGCAGCTAAGGATAGGTGTCCAATTGTCCTTCCCTGCTTATGACTCAAAAGATTTTAAGGCTATTGCAATTGTCATTTTACTAATACAACTTGACGTGGCACCCCCTTCTGGGGCAATTGTGAGGACCCACAGCCTTGGAGAAGAATAAAAGGCATTTAGAGAAGAACTTGCAGATTCTCTCTGAACACCTGTTGAATATTTTCTTCTACCACCCCTAATTTTTAATATTTCATACATTATAAAATATTTATTTATAACATTGTGTTACAGATTACAGAATACATATACAGTACAAGACAATCCCTGCTGGGAACCTCATCCAGCTCCACAGAGGTGAGATGTATGCTCAAGAAAAGCAGGCATTTCCTCTCTGGATAGCAATACTGTGGAGCTGGAACAGGAAGCTAGCATCTCTTGGGGTCTTTGGTTTACCTAACGAGTTCCTCTCCCACCTCCTTCAGGAATTTAAGTGCACATTTACCCCAGGTACCTAGGGTCTTGGAGCATATTAGCACGAACCTGCAACATTGTCCTATGTCCCTGTACTTAGTAATTTTCTGGGTTTCCTTTAAAATGCAGCCCCATCACCCTCAGCTTCCCTGTGCTGTGGATAGGTATCACCCAATATGTTACAGATTGCAGCTAAAACCAACTAATAGACAAATTACACTGATGTAAATTATTCTTAGTTATTCTTTATTAATTATTCTTACCTGTGATGAAAATGTGCACACAAGATAGTCGGTTAGTGAGAGGAAGTGCACATCAGCAATGATGCCCTTGAGCGATGCATCAGTATAACGTGTTGCTACAGCTGCCGTTCGTGCAATGTTCGAGTCCCCAAGAAAGATATAATCTGGATACCTGTTTAAAAGAAAACACATTTTTCAGATATAAATTTTCAGAAAAACAAATAAATATTTTCTCTGTCAATGTCATCATTATCTATAATTTCAATCCTTTTAAAATGTTAAAGCTTACTTTTTTTGAGCCTCTGATATAACAGTTGGATCATCAGATGCTAAGTAAACTCTCTTCACCACATCTGCCTGATGTAATTTGAGGGCTGTGTAATAATTCTCAACATGACTCATGTATTCTTCAATGGAATGAAAAGCTGCTTCTGTCCCCACTTTGTCAGTTCTTCGAACATGTACTCTGAAGAGGGATAATTTTTGGGTAAAATATTCACTAGAATTTGTATGCATATACAGTATGTACTGTATATATTATTATACATTATTGTGTGGGTAACAGTAATTCCTAACATAACATTCACTAACTTCCTAACTAAAACCATGTAAGATGTAAAATACTGTATGTAATGTATATTTTTCATAAACAAACGAGCGTTGAATGTAATGAAACACAATTTTCTGGGCGAGACCTGGAGGCTTCCCGGAGCTATCCGGGCTGATATGAATGTATTAGACCCTTGCATCAGTCAAGCAAATGGAGTTCTTAGGCATACCAGGGACCACAAGCCAGAACCTGGCCACCTCAGAGAGGCATGATGAGCAATGGCCTATAGAAACCCCAGTGTGGTTGGAAGCATTCTATGTTTGCCATCAACTGGGTCAGGCACCGAGAAAGGTAGGCCGCCCCAAAGCAAACCTATCTGTTTAAAATAGTGCTGCTGAAAGCCAAACTGTTGGACACAACTCCTCATACGAAAATAGAGCATGACATCACAACCATCACCACACCGCTGTCTGTGCAGCTTCCTCCCCTTCCCGGAAGGGGAAAGGGGGAGCCCCAGATCCCTCATGCCAGCTATCCAACCCATTAGTTCTGAGGCTGGATGTCAAAACACCCATGAAACCACCGACCAGAGGGAGCAAGGGAGGGTTGCCAGGAAGCCTCCGGGTTTCACCCAGAAAATGGAGTTTCTTTACATTCAATGCTCATTTTCTGGGGTGAGTCCCTTTGGCTTCCCAGAGCTACTTAACCAACGATAAAAACAAGAGGGACTTACCCGGCAGGCAATCGCCACTCACTCCTCAACTCGAAGTCGAGACAACTGGCTGCAACCACCGACCCAATGTGACACATGCTCGACTAGGGCCAGGAAAATTGACAAGGTAGCGAGCAGCCAGGACCCTATTCAATTTCCAAGATCCCTGTGCTCGAATGTCAGCCCAAGACATGCTACAGAAGATGGCAGCCAAAGCAGCAAACTTACGAACGTCATGGGCACGAGACGCTTAGTCCTGGGTTCGTATCCTGGCCAGGGAGGATTTACTGGGCGCAAATTCTTAACTGTAGCCTCTGTTTAACTCAACAGTAAAATGGGTACTTGGTTGTAAAAACGATTCTTCGTGGGGGTCGTATTCCAGGGACCTTAGGATTAAGAACTTGCCTCAAATGCTACGCATACTAGTGGCTGTACAAGAATGTAAGAACTCTTGTCTATACCTCAAAAAAAAGGAGACTGCTGCAAATGAACAAACCTACTACCAGGACCAAAATAGCAGAAACCCCTGCACCGGAGGAGAGCACGAAGTTCCCCAACTTGATGCCCAAAGGCCAATGCCAACAAGAAAAGAGCCTTTGCAAAACAATCTGGAACCGAAGGGGGCACAACAAACAGAGGAGAAGATAGAAAAGATAGCACCTGGTCCAACGACCACGACGACTCAGGAGGTGCACGAGTATGCCAGAGGTGAAACAATGCACAAGACAGCTTGCAGAACGGGGCAGAAGTAACATCCAGCCCGAACGCAAACTGAAGCGGTTCCACCAGTGCCGCATGATACGAGGCGACAGTATTTGGCATAAAATGACGATCCTGAAACAACCAAGACAGATAGGACAAGACAACCCGATCAGAAACAGAAGAAAACCTATAAAGGGACAAGAAATAACAAAAAGACCGCCAAGAAACTTCATACTGCCACCGAGACGAGACACGCATTTGGGACACCATCAACGAAGCCACCTGCTCACCATACAAATGGTGATAGACCCACATCAGAAAGACCAGACGCGAAGACTGGAGGAGGTGATCAAACCAGATAAGTAACGTAATAGGCCACTCTGATGAAAGAGGCGGAGCCACAGGAAAACCCCTGGGTTCGGACACAGAGCAAGCAGTGACATAGGAGACAGCTTGCGGAATGGTGCAGAAGTAACATCCATGCTGAACGCAAGTTGCAGCAGCTCTGCCAGCACCACACGATACGAGGCAACAGTATTTGGCAAAGCATGCATTGATGTGCTCAAAGTAAAAATAACAGGAAAACCTGGACAACTGTATGTGCCTCGCGCCACTCAAGCGCACGGGACCAACAGAACGTATGCCACGCCTCCAACGAGAAAAAGGGGCAGTCTGCAAGCCAGGACAACTCTGAAACCTCATAATGAACCCAGTAAGGAAAAGAAGATCCAAACGTGAAGGAAAAAGGATACATTATGGAAGCGTAATCCAGGTAGCGTAGGAGGTAAGCCGCAATGACCTCCCGCACCAAATGAAGCAGGATGCAGGAGGTCGAAAACCTCTGAAAGGACGGGACCGAGCCATCCTCCAAGTCCCCTGCCTCACAAGAAAAGGCAGGAGCAGCCAAAAATGCAGGAACAAAGGGGGTCCCTGATCAGACCAAGAAGCTCCAGGTGGAGAAACATGCTTGAATGCCTTCATCGTCACACCGGAAGTGGCATCCCCCGAAACTGCCCGATTCTCGACTCCAACTAAACCCTGCCCTGACTCCAAAACCTTCAGACGCTTTGGAGCCAGAAGCAGAGGAAAGGAAGGGGGGGGGGGTGCAGGACAAACAACAGAAGGGGAAGGACAAGGGGGCACGGACTGAAACAAAGTCAAAGCAACGAACAACCCCAAATCCTGGTCCCAATAACCAAAAAGAGGCAGTCTCACAGGGCATCCGGGGTAGCAACTAACTTAGCGCGTTGCAGCAACCTAAACTGAGCATGCAACGCCAAAGCTGTCTGCATCCAAATATCATGATTAATGGACTGGGTGTATTGGAGTACAAACAAGGAACAAAACTCGCAGGACTCTGGATCGAAGGTGTCACCGACCCTACAGACAACATGATGGAGGCACAACCGGTGAATGTCACCCTGAGACAAGGGGACAGAGCAACCTTCAAACTCACACAAGCACGAGGTGACCCAGGGTTGCATCCATCGAACCAAAGAGCCGCCGCAGGGTTTCCCAGGGCACCTTAGTCGCATAATCTCGCTAAGGGGAAGCCACAGAACTGCAGGGTTGCAGTGACGTGGTGATGTCTTGCTTGTTTGCTCGTTTTCATTTGTAGAGTTTTGGTGACACCAGCCAGTGGACAGTGGTGTGGTGGGTGCAGGTGGTGACATCGGCCAATGGGCAGTGGTGTGGTGGGTGCAGGTGGTGACACATGGTTTGGCTTTCAGAAGCAATATTTTAACCAGAATAGGGGTTTGTTTTGGGGCGCTTACCTTTCTGGGTGCCTGACCCAGTCGATGGCAGACATAGAATGCTTCCAACCACACGGAGGGTTTCTATAGGCCATTGCTCCTCGTGCCTCTCTAAAGGAGGCCAGGTTCTGGCTTGTGGTTGCCGATAGGCCTAGAACTCCATGTGCAATGAGTGATGCCAGGGTTTAATACATTCATATCAGCTCAGTTAGCTCCGGGGAGCCGAAGGGGTTCCCCAGAAAACTCTGAGGAGTGAACGTTGTGTGCCAGGGCATAAGGTCAATAAGGAAAGGCTGTCGGCCATGATGTGTGCCAATGCTGACAGCACAGACAGAATCACATGTGCAATTGTTGGCAAATCCAAGAAACCAAGAGCCTTGCAACATTGCTTGGACAGACTGCCTGTGAAATATTATAACTCAAAGAATGCATGGTTTACACAGATCTTTTTTTCTTGGTTTTATGATGTGTTCTGCAATGAAGTTCGTGACCATCAAGTTAAGAAACTCAAAGCGAGGCCAAAAGAAGTTTGGGCTTTGCTGTTGCTTGATAATGCGCCTGCCTACCCCAGAATTTACTCTATAACCTAACATGATGGCAAGATATTGTGTTATGGCACTTCCTCCTAGTATGGATCAGGAAGTTATCTGTGCCACAAAGAGGTTGTACACCAAAAAGATGCTCAGCAAAGTTTTGGTGGTTTTGCCTCTCGAGGAAGATGTGGAACTCAGCATGGATAACAAGGTTAAAAGAACCCTTGAGAATTTGAAGAACTATTCCATTAAGGAAGCAGTCTATAGCTGGGCCAAGGTGTGGAGTAAAGTAATGACTTGACTAAAGAATTCCTGGAAAAAATTCCTCACAGATAAGGTCAACAATGAAGAGGATGAAGAAATTAATTTTGAAGGATTTACAGATGAAATCCATGTAATGTTTAGAAATGCTGGCAAAAATTTAGAAAGACAGGATGTGGTTGATTGGCTTGAAAGAGATGCTAATGACCCAGGATATGGTGTGATGAGCAAAGAAGAGATTGTCCAGTCTGTTTAAGTTCAAGTATTTTTATTGAGACAAGAAAATACATCTCAAAGGAAAAGAGTAGCTTAGGCTATTTCAACCCCTTCCAGTCTGTTACTGGTGAGGCTGAGGATGACGATGGCAATGAGGAACCAACACCTCAGATCATGAAATACAGTTTACTCATGTCCTATGTTGATGGATTAATTAATTTTTCATCCAACTGTGCTAATCCAGAACTTGGAAATATGTATTAGTACCTGAGGTGAACCAAAGAACTGATCATAAAAAGATGCCAATGCACACAGAAGGCAAGCTAAACTTGATTCTTCTTTTGTAAGAACAGCAAGCCAAGAGTCTTTAGCCAGTGAGGCTTCAGCAGCTGGCAATCAAAACTTACCTTGCCAAGCTCATGTACGGTATAGTTATTTTAAGTGTTAAATATAGTATTGTGTTAGAATAGGTCACATAAATTGTCAAGAATTCTTAACTTCAAGATGTGTAGCATCAATCAAGAAGACGAACTACAACAAGGTAAGTTGAGGTTTCTGTTGAGAACAACGTAAATAAAGAATTGATGAAAAAGTCACAGCTAAGAAGTAAGGGTCAAAGATTGTTGGAGTAAGGGCAGGATTGTTCATAGAGAAATCTGTGTACTATACTAAGGTCAGTTACAAAGAAGGAGTTTTTATGAGTCACTGGATTTTTTAGGAAGAGGTCACATAGTGAATAGGAATTTCTACTTAAGAAAAATAACCCATGAAGAGAAATAGCTTATTAAATAGGACAAGCCTACTGAATTTTAATATCCCACTAAATAAACACCAAGATTAACACAAAGGCTGCCTGCAAAAATAAGCAGCAAAAAGTGGTACTGTATTAGCAAAACATGAAAATATGTATTGACAGTAAGATATGATGGATGATGTTAGTTTAAATATATTTACCACATCAATAACAAGTTAAACTTTTAAAAGCAGTGATTTTTTAGAGCAAACAAATAAAAACTTTCCATTTAAACAAATTTTACGTAATATGTATTCTGCACAATACAATAGCCCTATTATTATTACTGTACTTTTAAAAATTTTCTTACACACCCAACTATTGGCTTCTGGAATCCCAAGGTTTCTGCCATGCTGTCTAACATCTCTTGTGTTTTTGGTTGCAACCGGAGCATGTATTTCAGGAACTGTCCTATCCACCAAGCTGCAGGGTCTCCATGCAGCCTTGTTAAGCGTTCAGATATGTCTCGAGGAATTGCCAAGGGTAGATATGGAGGACGTTGAGATAGAGTATCAATGATGGGGAGATCCACTACCTGTGTTTCATTTGAGCCTAGAGAATAAAAAATAAACAGGTGTTACACAGTTATCTTGAGGTTATCTTGAGATGAGTTCAAGATGTCATGGAGATGTCAGTAGGATTAAACTCAACACCCATTAAACAAAATTACTTGCCTGACTGATACAACATGTTTACTAGATTTGTGCTCATTCACACTGCATAACTTACTACAGGACATATTGTTACAAAAAGTTTATTGTCACATATTTAATCATTAATTATCAATATGATCAATATAGCCTGTCTTATATGTAGAGAAACACACAAATGATTTTGAAGGGAATCTGCCTTTAAGAATCTTTACTGAGCATCACATTAGAGTGAGAATCCTCAAAATTCATTAATGCATATAAGAAATCTATACTAATTAAACACCAAACTACCACTCGCCTGTGTGATTTATCTCGTTTCTCATCTCTTGGAACTCCCTAAAAATGAGATACAACAGGAGTGGCAAGCCATACTATCTAAAAATTCCTACCTAGTTATTTCTACTCCCCTTGTGCCTTTATATACTGTACACACTTCCTTGTGTGGTCTTCCTCTTCCCGCGTCTATGATACAACTTGATTCCTGATCACTCTGGTCCATTCTCACTCCTGCACCTACTTCTTGCTATGCTATCATCCATCATCCCATCAACTGGCTCAATAGGTCTAATAGAAATATTCTCATGTTTACACAATGATATTTACTTTTACCCGATATTTAAACCCATACTCTTTGAGGTGTAAACGCTATAACTATGTACGTATTATTAAATCAGAGTTGCATACACTTTCACACGTCACATTTCTAAACAAACTACAGTATACCTGATGCTGAACATACAGTTGATGCATTGAAAATAGGAGCATGTTTCTGGAAACCATGCATATTTTCAACTGCATTGCCTATTGGTAACAACCTAATGGGGAAAACTAGATTCTTTCCATGGCCAAGAATGTATTACATAACCATTACATAAAACTTTCCATTGTAAATAACAAACCAGACATGTAAACTAACCCATACACCAGAAAATGAGGAGGAGATGACGTTTTGGTCCATCATGGACCATTATCAAGTTGATTGTGATAATGGTCCAGGACGGACCGAAACATTGTCATCTCCTCATTTTCTGGTGTGTGGTTTAGTATTCATATCTTAAGCCATGTTACTGTGACTCGTCGTCTGCAACCAGAGATGTTGCTCTTGGTGAGCATCTTACCTTGAGGTGCTTCTTGAAGTAATTATCTTGAAGTAATGCTTACTGCAAATATCTCAGGAACTATTGTACAATAACTAAAGTTTATGTTTATGTAAAGTTTACCTTACGTAACTTCCAGTGTATTATTACCTAATTATAGTTACATAAAATAGCTGTGAACATAGTACAGAGTATTTTGTATTCTGTATACATCTTGTCGCAGGTAACTTTAATCTCGGCTTTGTTTTTGGTACTGTCACTATTATCTGTGACTAATCACCATACATATACAAAAGTCATATTTAGTGTAAGGTGTAAATTCCCAGTGTCCAGGGACACAAAGCCTGTACTTAGGTTTATCAATGTCACTCTAGGCCAGCTTCAAACCTTTTCCAGAATGCAACTTACAACAGTAGTCTAATTCCTGGGTACCTATTTTACTGCTAGAATAACAGAGGCATCATGTGAAATGAAATGTGCCAAACCATTTCTGTCTTACATGGTAACTGAATCCAGGCTTCTCAGTAATGAGCTGAGGACATTGATCACTGTGCTAAAGAATCCAGATAAACATAGTAGCCTGTAGCAAATCAGTTTCTACAGTTGGTTCACCTCCAATTGGACTAGGGTAGGGTGTGACATTTGGGCAAATTTCGTCACACCTGTTGCCTCTGTTAATCTGGCAGTAAATATGTACCCAGAAGTCAGGTAACTGTTGTGGGTTGCACCTAGGGAAAGTAAGTCACTGTCAATGCTTCTAACATCTGGACTCTGGGAAATTAAATTTTGTGTCACCTGTAATGACCCTGACTGACCTGATCAAGTGTGTGCTGTGTGTGTGCTGACTGATCAAGCCTAGTCTCACTTGTGATTATTAATCCCTGTTGCCACGCTCTTAAATACTCTGTTCAACTAAACTTTTACAGCTGGCACATTTTACCTGGCCAGTGAGAGTGTGAGTATCCTGAAGGATCTGTACATGTTTCACTCAAAGGCTGGAAGACATCTTCCCAACCTGCCTTGTTGTAGCGCCACCCACGGGACTTCAAGATGAGTGTTCGCTTTGTTCCATATGCCACAATAAAACAATACACAACATGATGGATCTGACAACCATAACCACAACCCTGCAAAAAGCAAATGTCATACAGTACTTCAAATGTTAACTAAATGACATAAGTCATTTTTCGATGTCATAACATATGTCATAACACTTGTGAACACTTGTGACATAACATGATGTCATAAAACTTATGAAAATGACATAAGTCATTTTCATAAGTCAAGATTTATTCGATGACACTAAATGACACAAACAGCTTAAAGTGCACAAAATTTTAACATCATTTTGTATGAATTTAAGTGTTATCTAACACTTTAAATTTACAAAAACTGCTTCTTACCTTATTAAGATTACATATAAGTTTTCTGGCTTTAGCACAATCAGGTGGATGTTGAAGGGCATGAATTCTGTTCTGAATTAAGCCACTAAGATCAGCTGCCTCTTGCTCTCTCCACGACCCTAAGCCATCTAGATGACTCAGACGATGCAGGTCATACTCGGTTACTCTGAAAATAAAATAAATCAGATGGGATCTCATCGATTTTTATAGATGTGGAGTCCAAGAAATAACAGCTCAATCCTGCAGGCATAAATAGTAAATACACACTCACACTTCAGAAATTTGTATAGGGAATCATTTAGAACCTTGATTATCACATGTGTCAGACCAATCCTGGAGTACGAGGCTTTAGCATGAAATCCATATCTAATCAAGCACAAGATTATTTTGGAAGAGGTTCCAAGGTATGCCACCAGACAAGGTGACAGGTATGAGCTACGAGGAAAGACTACACAGAATTTATAGAGTCAATAAAAATATTATTTAATATGGGTGATACTCACACAATGGGACACAGGTGAAATGGAGTACCCAAATTAGCCACAGAACATTAGAAAAAACTTTTTCAGTGTCAGAATATTTAACAAATGGAATGCATTAAGAAGTGATGTAGTGGAGGCAAACTCTATACACAGTTGTCCGGTTGCGGCTCTCCACCGATATTTGCGAAGCCACGGCTTCGGTGGCTGGGGATGTACTTTGGGTTAACTCGGTTTCCCTCCTTCCCCTGTTCCCGGGCTCAGGTCTCCCAGGTCATCCGCAGGGTCTAGCCAGCCTGCGGTCTTTCCTCGTGCCCACGACGTTCGTAAGTTTGCTGCTTTGGCTGCCGTCTTTGGCAACATGTCTCTGGTTGACATTCGGGCACGGAGTTTTTGGAGGTCAAACAGGGTCCTGGACGCTCACTACCTTGTCAGTGTTCCTGGACCTAGTAGGGCCTGCGATGCATTGGGTCGGCAGTTGCAGCCAGTTGTCTCGACTTCGCGTTGAGGAGTGAGGACTGACTGAGGATGCCAATATGCGTCCTTGAGGTTAAGGGACACCATCCAAGTGTCCGGCACCAACAGAAGCCGGACCTGGGACAGAGTGGTCATCCGAAAGGAGGGGCAAGAATCCAAGGGGTTCAGATGGGACAAGTCCAGAATGAACCGCAGGTCCACACAGTTCCGTTTCAGAACCGGAAACAGGCAGGAAACCCACCCGAGAGACGTTGTCATTTCAATCACACCCAAGCGCATCCACTCTGAGACGAGCCGACCGAGAGCAGGAGAAGAGGCCTACCCCGTCAGTCCCAAACCTCCCAAAGGAGGAGGGGCCACTCAACGCCACCACATGCCGCGGGAAACGACCTAAAAAGCCCACAAATCTCAGACCAGGCATGAGCGAACACAGCAAGCTTCCCCCCCCCCATCGCCCCATCAATGGGGTGAACTGCAAAAGAGCCAATGCCCCTTACACGATCCCAACCTGCACACAGAGTGATCACCGCGCTGACCAGATACAGATGGTTCTGAAGGTGGCGCCGGCTCTGAAACTGGCACCAGTGGTCTATCCCAATGAGTGGAACCCCGAGCACTGGCACGACACCTCCAAGAAGTACCCCCCTCCCCTGGGAACCCTGGAGAACCAACAAGTCAGACATCAGATGACAGGTGGAAGAAGCCGCCTGCAGATACCGCTCAACCAAAGAGTCCGCTAACAACAAAAGACAAAAGGGCGAGGAAAACCTAAGAGCCAGGGCCTAAGCATATTTTTGGGCCCCTGGCACTTCTTGGGCAACCTGCTCACTTCCTGAGCAGGTTGTGCTCAGGAAGTGAGCACAACCTGCCGACATGCGACACACGCAGTGAAAAACCACAACACCGCATCCTGAAGGAATGGCGCAAACAGCTTCAGCAGCGCAGACGATGCACGAGCAGCCAACACCAAGGCACCAGACCCAGGAATGGCCCCAAGCATCTCCACATCCTCCGCAAGCCAATCTGAAGATAGCTCCAAGAGGGAAAAGAAACGCAAGACTGAAGCCAGCAAGCCACGACCATGCAAGTCCTCAGTCACAAGCGCAGCCGACAGGGAGGGAACCCGCACGTGAAGCTGAATCGCACTCACATCCCGCAGAAGGGCAGGTGTGAACAAGCACGCATTAAAGTGCTCAAAGTCACCCCACCCCCACCCCCTCAGGTAAACCTGGACCACTGTCAATGCCTCGTGCCACTCAAGCATGCGGGTACAACAGAAAGCACTCCAAGCATCCAACGACAACAACGGGCAGTCTGCAAGCCAGGACGACTCCGGAACCTCATAACGAACCCAGTATGGAGACGAAGACCCAAACCTGAAAGAAGACGGATCCATTATAGAGGCATATTCCAGGTCGCCCAGGAGGTAAGCCGCAATGGCTGCCCACACCTCAGTAGGCGAGACATGGTAAGCCGAAAACCTCCGGAAGGACAGAACCGAAGGACCCGCAGGGATACGGAACCGAACCCCGGGAGGAGCTGAACCCAAATCCAACTCGTATGCAGAGGAGGAAAAGGAAAACCCCACTCCTTGTAACAGAAAGCCCCGCTCTGAGGGTTGGAAAACCCAGGCGGAGTCCAATGGGGACCAAGGCCCCAAAGTCAGCTTCTTCCCAACCCCGGAAACCTCCATGACAGGCCCCCTCCATGGGGAGGAGTCATCCTCCAAAGCCCTGTCCTCACAAGAAAAAGCTGGGGCGACCAGAAAAGCAGAGCTTGAGAAGAGGCCCACTGCTCAGACCCCATTGCTACGGCTGGAGGAATGGACTCAAATGCCTCTGTCACCACCCCGGAAGGGAAACCCCCAAAACTGCCTGAGTCTCAGAAACCTCCAAAACCCCGCCCCAACTCCTCATGCTTGGGAGCCGGAAGCAAGGGGGGAGGAGACAGAATGAACCACAGCAGGGGAAGAACGAGGGGGGTGCGGACTGGACCAAGGCCGAAGCGACCAACACCCCCATGTCTGGGTTCCTGTAAGCAAAGCGGAGCAGCCTTGGGGCATCCAGGGAAGCAACCAATCTAGCACGTTGCAGCAACCTATACTTAGCATGCAACACCTGAGCCGCCTGCATCTGAATAACGTCATCCGTTGATTGGGTGAATTGAGTCACAAACAAGCAACAATGCTCGCAGGAGTCCGGGTCGAAGATGTCACCAACCCAACAGGCAGCATGGGGGAGGCAAAAACAATGAGCGTTGCCCTAAGACAAGGGGACAGAGCAACCCTCAAACTTGCACAAAGCGAGAGGGGACCCAGAGGTCGCATCCATTGGACCCCTTGCGCCCCCCGTGGGGATTCCCAGGGCCCTTAGGCTGTTTTTGGGAAAGGTAAGCCCAGGCAGGGTACTGCTAACCAGCACCCAAGTCTACCAAACAAACTTCTAAAACTAAACCTCCAGGACGTGACCACTCAGCAGGGGGTATCACCGAACACCAGAGGTCAAGACCCTAATATAACTGGTGGCAAGGGACACAAAGACAGATCCCTCCACCAGGCAGAAACAAAAATGAAAAGAAAAACCCTGCAAGAGGACAACATACCCAGGAGGAACAGAGCCGGCCACTGTTATAGGTGAAAACTAGCTGCGCAGTACCCTGCGCCCCTACCAGTGCAAAAACTACCACTTACCCCAAGGTAAACAAGGGAGGAAACCCCCAACACACTCAGGGCAGTCAATCACCGAGCAGCAAAAGACCAACAGAGGTAGACCCCAAGGTGACTTGTGGAAGATAACCCCAAGCCCCAAGGGCAGTACTTACAGGGCACTCAGGGAAGGGAACCCTAAGCACATGCAGCCCGAGTACCTGTGAATATTACTCCCAGCTCGCATGCCACCGTAAGAGCAGTACTGGACACAAGGCACAGCACAACACACACAGAATCTGGAGCTGGAGCCATACGACCATTCCACAATCAAATCGGCCAAAGAACTGGTGGGTGGATCATCGGCACAGTGGGTCTGGGGCTCCACCTACTCCCTCCCGGGAAGGTGGGGAACTGCGCAGACATGCGGAGCGACTTGTGTGACGTCATGCTTGTTTGCTCGTTTTCATTTGAGGAGTTCTGTCCACTCGTTAGTCTATTTTAGTCATTTTAACCAGAATAGGGGTTTGTTTTGAGGCGCTTACCTTTCTGGGTGCCTGGCCCGGTCGATGGCAGACATAGAATGCTCCAAATCCCATGTGCATTTCTATAGGCCATTGCTCCTCGTGCCTCTCTGAGGGGGCCAGGTTCTGGCTCGTGGTCCCTGGTAGGCCTAGAACTCCATTCACACTGACTGATGCCAAAGTCTAATAATATACATATCAGCCTGGATAGCTCCGGGGAGCTGAAGGGGCTCCCCCCAGAAAAAGGCAAGTGTCCCAAAACAAACCCCTATTCAGGTTAAAATTGCTACCTAATGCCAAACTAGTGGATAGAACTCCCCAAAAAGATACGAGCAAACTAGCATGATGTCCCACGTCACTATGCCGCTGTCTGCGCAGCTCCCCCCCTCCCTGGGAGGGGGAAGAGGGAGCCCCAGACCTCCATGCCGGCAATCCACACCCCAGTTCTGAGGCTGGATGTCAAGACAACACAAAAACCACCAACCGGAGGGAGGGAGGGATACTGGGGAGCCTCCAGGTCACACCCAGAAAATGGCGTTTCATTACATTCAATGCTGGTTTTCTGGGGGGAGCCTTGTCTTCTGGGGGGAGCCTCGTCGGCTCCTGAGAGCTAACTATCCACAGAGGAAAATAGAGGGCCACATCTGGGAGGCGGTTGCTGCACACTCTGCAACTGAAAACCGAGACAACTGGCTGCAACCGCTAACCCAAGGCGACCCAAGCCCGACTAGGCCCAGGAACGAGTACAAGACCACAAGCAGCCAGAACCCTGTCCGACCGCCAAAAACCCAGCCCGAATGTCAAACCAGGCCACGTTACCAAAAACGGCGGCAAGAGCCACGAACGTACGAACGTCACGAGCACAGGGAGACTGCAGGCTGGCTAGCCGTAAGAATCCCGCGGATGACCTGGGAAACCCGCACCTGCGGACAGGGAAGAAGGGAAACTGGAGCAACCCAAATGCGTCCACTGACACAGAAGCCAAGGCGCGCAAAAATGGCGGAGAACCGCCACCGGCCACAAAACACTATGCACCCCCGGCCTAATCAACCATGCATCAAAAACCCAATGACCCCTCTGGAAAACAGCAGTCTCAATCCTCGCCAGACAAGAAGGAGACGGCTGGAGACAAACAAACCTAAAGTATAGGGTATAGACTCATTTCTCTCAATGTTTGCTGATGATGCCAAAATTATGAGAAGGATTAAGACAGAGGAGGACTGCTCAAGGCTTCAAGAAGACCTAGACAAGCTGAAGGAATGGTCGAACAAATGGTTCTCATAGTTTAACCCAACCAAATGTAATGTAATGAAGATAAGTGTAGGGAGCAGGAGGCCAGATACAAGGTATCATGTGGGAGATGAAATTCTTTATGAGTCAGAGAGAGAAAAAGACTTGGGGGTTGATATCACGTCAGACCTGTCTCCTGCAGCACATATCAAGCGGATAACATCAGCAGCATATACCAGGCTGGCCAACATAAGAACAGCCTTCAGAAACTTGTGTAAGGAATCATTCAGAACTTTGTATACCATATATGTCAGACCAATCCTGGAGTATGCAGCCCCAGCATGGAGTCCATATCTAGTCAAGGATAAGACTAAACTGGAAAAAGGTTCAAAGATTTGCCACCAGACTAGTACCCGAGTTGAGAGGTATGAGCTACGAGGAGAGACTACAGGAATTAAACCTCACTTTCCTGGAAGACAGAATAGTTAGGGGGGACATGATCACCACATTCAAGATTCTCAAAGGAATTGATAGGGTAGATAAAGACAGTCTACTTAACACAGGGGGCACACGCACTAGGGGGGACAGGTGAAAACTAAGTGCCCAAATGAGCCAGAGATATTAGAAAGAACTTTTTTAGCGTCAGAGTGGTTGACAAATGGAATGCATTAGGAAGTGATGTGGTGAAGGCTGACTCCATACACAGTTTCAAGTGTAGATATGATAGAGGCCAATAGGCTCAGGAACCTGTACACCTGTTGAATGACAATTGAGAGGCGGGACCAATGAGCCAGAGCTTAATCCTCGCAAGCACAAATAGGTGAGTACAAATAGGTGAGTACAAGAGTTGTTACATTTTTGTACAGCCACTGGTACACGTAGCGTTTCGGGCAATGAAAGAGAGTATGAGTCTTATGAAAGAGTACTGAGAAGACAGGACACCATGAGCTTAGCTCTCATCCTGTAACTACACTTAGGTAATTTCACACATTTCTTAATTATTATTATTTAAATTATCAAAACCAAAAATGTAGATTTTTCCTTCTTTATTATGCAATATATAAGTCTCTACATAACAGCGGTCACACATGGTAACATAAAATATTTGAGGAACTACCTAAATATTTCTTCTTACAACATACAGTTTTGATGCTGTTATAATTTTCTTTAAAAGTTACAGTACATTATATTTAATTTGCATCTTGAATTCATTGACAACCACATTTGGCTACTACATAGGGCAATCAAAATTTCTTATACAAGCACTTCTAGTGCTCTTTATAACAATAATAAATTCTTAGTTGAGCAACATTTTTACCTTGCATGATCTGCTCCTACTTCCAAAATTTGATCAATGTGTGTCGTGTAGTCAGTGAAAGCTGCAACTTTTTTACGCAGTTGTTGGAGCTGGTCAGAAACATACCACCATGTTTCTTGGACTCCTTTCCCCACAAGCCTCCGTGTCTGCTCAAACTCCAGTGATGGTGTGAAGTCCGAAGATCCTGAAACACAATACAGGTACAGTAGTTGAAACATAATAATGGTAGTACATTCAACACATACTGCATGAATTTTATAATAAAGATCTAAATTTAAAAATTAAAATCTTAATGAAATAGTGAAATTAAAGTGACGAGGTTTCGGTCCGTCTTGGACCATTATCAAGTGTTTCTAGTCTTGCATGCCTCTCACCTTGCATCTCACCTTCTTGCACTATGTATTTGTCTCTTCCACTTTTTCTATGCTCACCAGCAAGCCTGAGTAACTTCACAAGACATTCATCACCACTGCGACCCGTTGAGGGGGTTTTAACAACAACAATGCCCCACAAATCTCTAAAAGTCAGGACTCGTGGATGGTCATGTTTTCACCAAAAGCGACGTCTTGAAGATCCTAAAAGAAGGCGCCGGCATTACACCCATTGATAGTTGGTAGTTTAAAATTGACCTTGGTCAAGAAGGGGAGAATATTGTGCTCTATTTCTCGTGTGTGGAGGATCTCGAAAAACTCCATAAATTCGATCACACACTTCTCCAAGTGCACCACCTCTGTCCTCTCTTCCAGCATCAGTACACCGCCGACCGAACCGTCTTTATCAGCGGGTCCAGCTGCTGGATCGCAGACTGAGAACAAACGGAGATCATTACCAACATCGAGGAAGAAAACCCAAACCTGGGGATATTTTATGTTATATTCTGCAGCACCGATACCGACCACCATGAAGATATCCTTCACCACCTAAGCCGCGGCTAACCAGGCTGCCACACATGGTCTCCACTGCTTCAGCATCAGGATTTCACCCTTCCAAGTGAAGGAGGAAGATTCCACAAGCTCCAACAGTGCTTTCGGTGCTATGACTACACCCACCCCACCAACAAGTGTCAGCACCCTGTTCAGAAATGCAGCCTTTGCACCCAAGACTATCATTACTCCATTTGCAAGTCAAAAACCCATTGCTGCCTGCTCTGCAGCGGCGATCACCCTGCAATTTCCCACTGCTGCCCTCGTGCACAGGAAATCATTAGGATCCAGGCTAAATCCAATAAAGCCAAGCCTGCTATTTCCACCGCCAGAGCCACCGGCACCAAACCCAGCACTTCAGCTTCCACCAACCTACCAGAAGACTTACCAGTTAAACCAAACAGTGGCTTCTCTCAACAGGCCACCCAGCCTCCACACTGGGGACCTAAGGACAAACCAGCACACTCACAGTCCCTTGCATCACATGCTGGCATTATCCCTGGTCTTATTCGACTAGCGGAGAGGCTTGTCGGACCAATCAATGATTCATCAAGGAACTCAACACACTGTACCTAGCCAACATCCTGGACCCTATCATCGCCCTGGATGCAAATCTCACTGCCTCCACTACCACCAAGACGACCACGAGGTCAATCTCAACATAGACTCCAGAACCACCCAAGATCCAGCCGGCACAGAGGTATTTCCCTCTCCAGCTTCCAACAGTCCTCCCATCACCATGTCAGCAGAAGCACTAGCAGACGTGCTGTCTACAAATACTAATAGCACCACCAAAGCTGAAATAGCTTCTGCCACTAATCACAACACCTGAGCCTATCTCAGGCTGCAAGACGAAAGACAAAACTACCAACTACAGATGTTATGAACTCCTCTGACAAGGAAATCTTAGTAGGAGCTCCACTGCCGCAGCACAAATATGACACCTACACAAGATCTCCACATGAAGGCTACCTCACCAAACTCCAACGACAGCAAGGCTCAGCCAAAGTCTCAGCCAAATTAAAAATGGAAGATCTAGAGGTCTACACTAACCCACCAGCTCCATAACTGGTACAGCCAGCACATCCCCAGATCTCCAGTATCGGCTATTGTTACAGATAATGGCTCCAAAGAGCATCCACTTACGTGCTCACCATAGTGCCTGCTACTTGGAACTTTTTGTTCTGAGTAGATGAATCTACAAACAACAACAGCTCTTTCTATGGGACATCTCCTGTGCCAGGTGTGTACAACAGGCTCACCATAGCTCGTGTTGCTTGGAACTTTTTGTTCTAAGTAGCTGAATCTGAAACAACAACCAACTCTTTCTATTCTACCACTTACGGGCTATTCATGCCCATGACACCTCTTGGGGTGGCTTAATTTTCATCAATCAATCTTTCTATTACACAACTTGATAATAGTTTAGGACAGACCAAAACGTCGTCGTTTCTTCATTTTCCGATGTGTGGTTTAGTCATCACATCAGCCACATTATTGCGACTCATTAATTGCAAGTGGAAAATTGATAAGGGCTCAAGACGGACAGAAACGTCCTTACTTCTTTCCGAGGTGTGTGTTTCAGATTACATGTATTTGTTTTTGGGCATATTATTGTGACAATTTCCGCACTACTGTAGTATAAAATATCAGCAAGCAGTGAGTCTGTTCAATTTGTATTCAATTTAGTACACTTAAAAGGCATTTTAAAAATGACCTGGCTTGCGATCAGCAGTAACATCAGCCTGTTGCAGCATTCGTTGTGCATGTTCCAGTTTCTTCTGCAGCTCTGCCACCATGGCCGTGTTGCCACTCGAGGTCTGTACTGCTGCTGCTCCTTCTTGTCTTCCTTCTCTTGCTCCATCATTATTCAGAGAGTTTACCTGTCTAAAGAATGAATTCATTTACAATTGGAAGGTTTTCAAAATTCGACTTTTACGTATAAAGATGCAAAAAAAAAAAAATTGAAAACTAACTAAATAGTTTATATAAACACACACAATGATATGTCTGTTATATGCATAAGGAAAACAATCAAAATATAATCACCAAGGTTATTGTTGGTAATTATTGTTATTATGGTATACATAGATAACTATAAAATCTCAGTTAACTATACCAGATCTATTTGCAGTACTAAATTATTGTTTAAAACTAAGGTACAGATAAACATCTAGTGGTTATACTATATGAATGCTAAACAGTATTTATCTATAGACATTTATATATGTTGAAATACATGTCAAGAACCTTTCACACACTCACAGCTCCCTGACAAGAGAGGGCAAGCTTGGGCAAGCTTGGCCTAGCTGCCAACACCCACATCGAATCAGGAGACGGGCAGCAGTAACGCCTGAGCCTTCCTATCATAAGTTTTTTATTGTTGCCACCAGAGGTGGCCAGTTTATTGTGCACCCCAGACCCATCCTGTGAGTGGTATATATAGCGCACCCCACACTCATCCAGGGAGCAGTAGTTTATTGTGCACCCCATACTCATCCTGTGAGTGGTAGCTTATTGTGCACCCCAAACTCATCCTGTGAGCAGTAGTTTATTGTGCACTCCCACATATCTTGTGAGTGGTAGTTTAATGTGCACCCATATGCATCCTGTGAGTGGTAGTTTATTGTGCACCCCATACTCATGCTGTCAGTGGTAGTTTATTGTACACCCCATATTCATCCTGACTGCGGTAGTTTATTGTGCACCCCACACTCATCCTGCGAGTGGTAGCTTATTGTGCACCCCCCACACTCATCCTGTGGGTGGTAGTTTATTGTGCACCCCATACTCATCCTGACTGCGGTAGTTTATTGTGCACCCCCATACTCATCCTGCGAGTGGTAGTTTATTGTGCACCCCATACGCATCCTGCGAGTGGTAGTTTATTGTGCACCCCACACTCATCCTGTGAGTGGTTGTTTATTGTGCACCCCACACTCATCCTATGAGTGCTAGTTTATTGTGCACCCTACACTCATCCTGTGAGTGGTAGTTTATTGAGCACCAGATACTCATCCTGTGAGCGGTAGTTTATTGTGTACCCCACACTCATCCTGTGAGTGGTATTTTACTGTGCACCTCATACTAATACAGAGTGGTAGTTCATTGTGCACCCCATACTAATCCTGAGTGGTAGTCTATTGTGCCACACACACTCATCCTGTGAGTAGTAGTTTATTGTGCACCAGCTACTTATTCTGTGAGTTGTAGTATATTGTGACCCCCACCCCACACTCATCCAGTAAGTGATAGTTTATTGTGCACCCCATACTCATCCTGTGAGTTGTAGTCTACTGTGCACCCCATACTCATCCTGTGAGTGGTAGTTTATTGAGCATCGAACACTTACCCTGTGAGTGGTAGTTTATTGTGCACTCCATATTCTTCCTGTGAGAGGTAATATATTGTGCACCCAATACTCATCTTGTGAGTCATAGTTTAGTGTGCACCCCATATTCATCCAGTGAGCAGTAGTTTGTTGCATCACTCATCCTGTACTCACCTATTTGTGCTTGCGTGGGTTGAGGTCTAGCTCTTTGGTCCCGCCTCTTAACTGTCAAACAACTGGTGTACAGATTCCTGAGCCTATTAGGCTCTATCATATCTACACTTGAAACTGTGTATGGAGTCAGCCTCCACCACATCACTGCCTAATGCATTCCATTTGTCAACTACTCTGACACTAAAAAAATTCTTTCTATTATCTCTGTGGCTCATTTGGGCACTCAAATTTCCACCTGTGTCCCCTAGTACATGTGCCCCTCGTGTTAAATAGCCTGCCTTTATCTACCTTGTAAATTCCTCTGAGAATCTTGTACTTGGTGATCATATCCCCCTAACTCTTCTGTCTTCTAGCGACGTGAGGTTTAATTCCCGTAGTCTCTCCTCGTAGCTCATACCTCTCAGCCCGGGTACTAGTCTGGTGCCAAACCTTTGAAATTTTTCCAATTTGGTCTTATGCTTGACTAGATATGAACTCCATGCTGGGGCTGCATACTCCAGGATTGGTCTGACATAGGTGGTATACAAAGTTCTGAATGATTCCTTGCACAAGTGTCTAAATGCCATTCTTATGTTAGCCAACCTGGCATATGCAGCTGATGCTATCCTCTTGATATGGGCTTCAGGGGACAGGTCTGGCGTGATATCAACCCCCAGGTCTTTCTCTCTGACTCTTGAAGAATTTCCTCTCCCAAATGATTCCTTTTAACTGGCCTCCTGCTCCCTACACCTATCTTCATTACATTACATTTGCTTGGGTTAAACTCTAACAACCATTTGTTTGACCATTCCTTTAGTTTGTCTAGGTCTTCTTGAAGCCTCAAGCAGTCCTCCTGTCTTAATCCTTCTTATAATTTTGGCATCGTCAGCAAACATTGAGAGGAATGAGTCTACACCCTCCGGAAGATCGTTTACGTACTGTATATCAGAAACAGGACAGGACCGAGTATAGAGCCCTGTAGGACTCCATTGGTGACTTCACACCAATCTGAGGTCTCACCCCTCACTGTAACTCTTTGCTTCCTATTGCTTAGGTATTCCCTTATCCACTGGAGCACTTTACCAGTTACTCCTGCCTGTCTCTCCAGTTTATGTACCAGCCTCTTATGGGAGACTGTATCAAAGGCTTTCTGACAGTCCAAAAAAAATGCAGTCTGCCCAGCCTTCTCTTACTTGCTTAATCTTTGTCACCTGATAATAGAATTCTATTAAACCAATAAGACAAGATTTACCCTACCTGAACCCATGTTAGTGATTTGTCACGAAGTCCCTTCTCTCCAGATGTGTTACTAAATTTTTTCTCACGATCTAATACATCACTTTGCATGGTATACAAATTAAAGACACTGGCCTGTAGTTCAGTGCCTCTTGTCTGTCACCCTTTTTGTATATTGGGATCACATTAGCCGCCTTCCATATTTCTGGTAGGTCTCCCGTGACCTACTATACACTATGGAGAGTGGCAAGCAGAGTGCCTCTGCACACTCTTTCAATACCCATGGTGAGATCCCGTCTGGACCAACAGTCTTTCTCACATCCAGATCCAACAAGTGTCTCTTGACCTCCTCTCTCATAATTTCGAACCCTTCCAAGGCCTCCTGGTTTACTGCCCCCTCTCCTAGTGCAGTGACCTCACCATGTTCTATTGTGAAGACCTCCTGGAACCTCTTGTTGAGTTCCTAACACACCTCTTTGTCATTCTCTGTATACCTGTCCTTGCCTGTTCTAAGTTTCATTACCTGTTCTTTCACTGTTGTTTTCCATCTGACGTGACTGTGGAGTAGCTTTGGATCGGTCTTGGCTTTGCTTGCTATATCATTTTCATAATTTTTCTCTGCTTCCCTTCTCACACTATCACACTAACATACTCATTCCTGGTTCTCTGGTATCTCTCTCTGCTTTCTGGTGTTCTGTTATTTCGGAAGTTCCTCCACACCCTTTTGTTCAGTACCTTTGCTTCCATACATGCCCTGTTAAACCATGGATTTCTTCTTTTGCTTCTCGGATTTTTCCCTTTGGGCCGGGATAAACCTGTTTACTGCCTCCTGACACTTTGGGTGACATAGTCCATCATGTCTTGTACCGACTTAGCTTTGAGGTCTGTGTCCCATGGTATATCCCTTAGGAAACTTCTCATCCCCTCATAATTCTCCTTTCGGTATGCCAGCCTTTTGTTTTCTAGTTCTTTTTTGGGGGAGATAAGTCCTAGCTCTACCAAATACTCAAAGATCAATACACTGTGGTCACTCATTACCAAGGGTGCTTTCATCTCAACCTCCCTTATATCCCACTCATTTAGGGTAAATATCAGATCAAGCATAGCTGGTTCATCCTCCCCTCTCATTCTTGTCGGTCCATTGATATGCTGGCTTAGAAAGTTTCTTGTTGCCGCATCCAGCAGCTTAGCTCTCCATGTATCTGATCCTCCATGAGGGTCTCTGTTCTCCCAATCAATCTTCCCGTGGTTGAAATCCCCCATCATTAGTAGTCCAGATCCATTCCTACTAGCGAGAGACGCTGTTCTCTCTATTATGTTAATGGTGGCCATGTTGTTTCTATCATATTCCTGTCTGGGTCTTCTGTCATTTGGTGAAAGGTTATATATGACTGCGACTACCATTTTTTGTCCTCCAGTTGCTATTCTACCTGTTATATAGTCACTGAAACCTTCACAGCCCTGAATAACCATTTCCTCAAAATCCCAGCCTTTTCTTACCAGCAGAGCTACACCACCACCTCCACTTCCTTCTCTCTCTTTCCTAACAACACAGTAGTCCTGTCGAAACACTGCATTTGTTATGGTTTTCGTTAGCTTTGTTTCTGTGAGTGCTATTATGTCTGGGTTTTCTTAAAGTACCCATTCTCCAAGTTCATTTGTTTTATTTGTAATCCCATCTATGTTAGTGTACATTGCCTTGAGACTCACTTTCTTCTGTCCCTTCTCATGTTCCCTTCTTGGTGAGCGTTCTGCTGATGGGAAAAGCTGTTCCATGGGCGTGAGGATTTGTGGGGTGGGTAACGGGGTCTCAGAGGATACTGGAGAAAGGGGATGAGGGGTCAAGTGAAGAGGGAATAGGGAGAGTATGGGATGAAGGGGGAGGGAGGACAGGGGGAAAAGGGGGGGAAGTGGGATATGGTGGGAGAAGGGAAGGGGAAGCAGGGTGGGAGTGGGGTGAGGGGGGAGGGAGAGGAGGCTGAACATTTGCAACCCGTTCTCGCAAATTTAATAAGTCAATATTGACTTATTAACTACGTGCATAGGTGACATACTTAACATAATAGATACCCTTAAGAAGATTCATAGAAAACACCGACCTTACCTAACCTTGTTAGTATCTTAAGATAAACATCTTATTGCTTCGTAATTACAATTATTACCTAACCTATAATAGGTATAGGTTAAGTAATAATTGTAATTACGAAGCAATAAGATGCTTATCTTAAGATACTGACAAGGTTAGGTAAGGTCGGTGTTTTCTATGAATCTTTTTAAGGGTATCTATTATGTTTAGTATATCACCTATGCACGTAGTTAATAAGTCAATATTGACTTTACGAATTTGCGAGAACGGGTTGACATTTGAGTGGGGGGCAGGGAGGGTTTGGGATAGGGGAGGTTTCTATGCAGAGGAGGGTGGTGGAGTTGCCCTCCCCTCTGGTGTTACTGGGTTGCTAGTTGTGGGTTCCCCCCTCACCATTGGGGATGTTGTGCTGGGAGCTGTGTTTTCCTGGTTTTATCCTCTCGCCCGGCGCTTCTTTCTTGCTTCTGCAGACATGGCTCTTTCCTCTCTCGTCATATCCCTCTAAAGAAATACTTTTTTGAATTCTCCCACATCTTGCAGGTGGCTCTTCCTTGTTAGAATCTTCTCCTTTGTGGCTTCGTTTGCAAACAATATCTTTAACACACGGTCTCTGTCCTTGTTGTACCAGCCCATCCTGAAAACCTTCTCAATTCTATGTTCAGTCCCTTCCATCTCTAGCCTCCTTAGTATTGCAGTTTATTGTGCACCCCACATTCATCCTATGAGCAATAGTTTACTGTGCACCCACACTCATCCCTGTGAGTGTTAGTTTATTGTGCACCCCACATTCATCCTGTGAGTGGTAGCTTATTGTGCACCCCACACTCATCCTATGAGTGGTAGTTTATTGTGCACTCCATACTCATCCTATGAGTGGTAGTTTATTGTGCACCCCACACTCATCCTGTGAGCGGTAGTTTATTGTGCACCCCACACTCATCCTGTGAGCGGTAGTTTATTGTGCACCCCACACTAATCCTGTGAGTGTATTGTGCACCCCATATTCATCCTATGAATGGTAGTTTATTGTGCCACACACATTCATCCTGTGGGTGGTAGTTTATTGTGCACTCCACACTCATCCTGTGAGTGGTAGTTTATTGTGCACCCCATACTCATCCTGTGAGTGGTAGTACAAAATGATTACAGAGGTCACTAAAGATCTTAATTAAATGTTAGCGAAGATTTTGTACATTAAATAATTTCGTCTAACCTGCACACCTTATAATAATGTCGGCTAGTTACACATTTTTGCTTTACAATACATTCGTATTTTCTTAAATTATAATTCATTCACCTTAGGTATTTTGCTAATACATAGAATATTTAGATATGGGGATATTACATGATCATAGGAAAGTTGCTGCTGTGTTATAAGTCTTCACATTACAAAGTGTGTGTATATGTATGTATATATATAATCACTTATCAACTAAGAGCGAAACAGGGTTACAGTGCAAGGGTCTCAGATAAGTTATCATTTATAACAATATGGTTTTCCATTTCATGCAGCTTGAGTTTAGATTCATCTTTAAATGGCAATTTTTTGTTTAATTCAAAGATGCAATGGTGTGTGTGTCCCCCAGTCTTTGTCCACACACTTTACTTCTCACTCGCACTATATTTCCCATTTCTAAACTTGTCCATGTCTATCTTCTTTACTCGCAAAAAACAAATACACAAGATGTGTGACATCACTATGACGTCATAATTTTATCCCGGCTCAGGTGGCAGATTCTACTGACAATCAGGTGAATCCTTTTAACAAACGGGAATGTGTGTAGTGTGAAGAAACAGTACCGACTTATACCTGCCACACCTGACAAATTAAATACTGACTGGCATCACAAACATACTTAGTAAAATCATGAAGAACTTGTCTGATGTCGTCATTCTGCTTCTTGAGAAGGTCGAGGTCGTGGACGGCCCGCTGGAGGCGCTGAGCGAGCCTGGGGTCGCTGGAGGTCGCCGAGGGGCCGGGAGGTGCAAGTAGTGCCACACCCACTAACCATATCACACCCACAGCCCCGCCCACACGCCACGCCCACCCACCCACCCACCGCATCCTCTCACACCTGTAATGAGAGAGAGATTGATGTTACCGTTACATATTGTTATTGTTCTACCGTTGACAACCAATGTCCCGTTGTCCACCTCAGGTCGTGGAGAATTTTGGCAATAATGTGGCCACACTAAACGACGAATACGAAAGAACACTCGACTTGATACACTGTTATCCAAAACACATTGTCTGTGCTATGAAATGAAAGCACAGAATTACTAGCTGTAAACGGACAAAGACGATGCTCATATTTTCTTCCTGCGTGATACTTGCTTGATGGGGTTCTGGGAGTTCTTCTATTCCCCAAGCCCGGCCCGAGGCCAGGCTTGACTTGTGAGAGTTTGGTCCACAAGGCTGTTGCTTGGAGCTGCCCGCAGGCCCACATATCCACCACAGCCCGGTTGGTCCGGAACTTTTTCTAGAAAACAATCTAGTTTCCTCTTGAAGATGTCCACGGTTGTTCCGGCAATATTTCTTATGCTCGCTGGGAGGACGTTGAACAACCGTGGATCTCTGATGTTTATACAGTGTTCTCTGATTGTGCCTATGGCACCTCTGCTCTTCACTGGTTCTATTCTGCATTTTCTTCCACATTGTTCACTCCAGTACGTTGTTATTTTACCGTGCAGATTTGGGATCTGGCCCTCCAGTATTTTCCATGTGTATATTATTTGGTATCTCTCTCGTTTCCTTTATAGTGAGTACATTTGGAGAGCTTTGAGACGATCCCAATAATTTAGGTGCTTTATCTCGTCTATGCGTGCCGTATATGTTCTCTGTATTCCCTCTATTTCAGCAATCTCTCCTGCTCTGAAGGGGGAAGCGAGTACTGAGCAGTACTCAAGACGGGATAACACAAGTGATTTGAAGAGTACAACCATTGTGATGGGATCCCTGGATTTGAAAGTTCTCGTAATGCATCCTATCATTTTTCTGGCTGACGCAATATTTGCTTGGTTATGCTCCCTAAACGTTAGGTCGTCGGACATCATTATTCCCAAATCCTTGACATGCTGTTTTCCTACTATGGGCAGATTCGATTGTGTTTTGTACCCTGTATTATGTTTCAGATCCTCATTTTTGCCGTACCTGAGTACCTGGAATTTATCACTGTTACGTATTATGTTATTTTCTGCTGCCCAATCGAAAACTTTGTTAATATCTGTTGTAGATTTTCAATGTCTTCAGCAGAGGTAATTTTCATGCTGATTTTTGTATCATCTGCAAAGGATGACACGAAGCTGTGACTTGTATTTTTGTCTATATCTGATATGAGAATAAGGAACAACGGGGTGCAAGGATTGTACCTTTAGGTACAGAGATTTGAATTGTGCTCGGACTCGATTTTATTTGATTGACTGTTACTCTTTGTGTTCTGTTCGACAGGAAATTGAGTATCTACCGTCCTACTTTACCAGTTATTCCCACTGACCTCATTTTGTGTGCTATCACTCCATGGTCACATTTGTCGAAAGCCTTTGCAAAGTTTGTGTATACGACATCTGCATTCTGTTTTTCTTCTAATGTCTTAGTGATTTTGTCGTAATCACGACAATTGAACAATTCAACTGTTTCTGAACAAAGTATGTGCACGAATTTCCAGCTGTCGTTGTGTGCATAACTGTTTTGTCATTTACTACCACCCCGCACCTCGCATACCCGCCCCACTCTCCATCCATAGACAACGGTGTCAGTAACTCATAGAAGAGGTAAAATCTTCAAACCTACAAGTAATTACCATTACGGTCAAAGACTTCATCTGTTATTAAATAGTAATTTTGAATATCAATGTAACATGAAATAATTAATATCTGAAAACAAACCATTATCTAGTATAACTAAACATTTATATAAACAATTACTTTGATTATGGCAGCTTAATATGCACTGGAAAAATGACAATAACACAACAACATTATTTTTCACGAAGCTACTCACTGGTCCATTAAAGGCTATTTCTATGAAACGTCCGACCTCAGCTATGATAAGCATTTGCAAAGTTTGTTATAATGTGTGATCAAAGGCAGCTGCTCTGTGAACCCCGAGGCAAGGTAGGCAGCCTGCTGCTCACCGGGGTCGCTGCCCCCTGGACCCCGGGGCAAGGTAGGCAGCCTGCTGCTCACCGGGGTCGCTGCCCCCTGGACCCTGGGGCAAGGTAGGCAGCCTGCTGCTCACCGGGGTCGCTGCCCCCTGGACCCCGGGGCAAGGTAGGCAGCCTGCTGCTCACCGGGGTCGCTGCCCCCTGGACCCCGGGGCAAGGTAGGCAGCCTGCTGCTCACCGGGGTCGCTGCCCCCTGGACCCCGGGGAAAGGTAGGCAGCCTGCTGCTCACCGGGGTCGCTGCCCCCTGAACCCCGGGGCAAGGTAGGCAGCCTGCTGCTCACCGGGGTCGCTGCCCCCTGAACCCCGGGGCAAGGTAGGCAGCCTGCTGCTCACCGGGGTCGCTGCCCCCTGAACCCCGGGGCAAGGTAGGCAGCCTGCTGCTCACCGGGGTCGCTGCCCCCTGGACCCCGGGGAAAGGTAGGCAGCCTGCTGCTCACCGGGGTCGCTGCCCCCCTGGACCCCGGGGCAACGAGGGCGCCCCCGCACTCACACTATACATCAAGGTGGCCTCTTAACTACCAATATATCCATCCGAGCCGGTAATTTTAGTTAAAAAACGGACGGGTAAAAAAAAACTGTTTATCTATTATGGGCCAACTTAGTTATTTCTACTTAAATATAAACGTGAAGTTTTTATCTATTGATTAGATAAAAACTTATTTCGGGTGGGTTGAGTTTTAGGAAAAAACAGGGTCGTTTGCCGGCTTACATGTGAGCAGTTAGAAGTTTTCCACTTTCGCATCTACTGTAGAGCCGAGGCCGCTCGCATCTACTGTAGAGCCGAGGCCGCTCGCATCTACTGTAGAGCCGAGGCCGCTCGCATCTACTGTAGAGCCGAGGCCGCTCGCATCTACTGTAGAGCCGAGGCCGCTCGCGTCTACTGTAGAGCCGAGGCCGCTCGCGTCTACTGTAGAGCCGAGGCCGCTCGCGTCTACTGTAGAGCCGAGGCCGCTCGCGTCTACTGTAGAGCCGAGGCCGCTCGCGTCTACTGTAGAGCCGAGGCCGCTCGCGTCTACTGTAGAGCCGAGGCCGCTCGCGTCTACTGTAGAGCCGAGGCCGCTCGCGTCTACTGTAGAGCCGAGGCCGCTCGCGTCTACTGTAGAGCCGAGGCCGCTCGCGTCTACTGTAGAGCCGAGGCCGCTCGCGTCTACTGTAGAGCCGAGGCCGCTCGCGTCTACTGTAGAGCCGAGGCCGCTCGCGTCTACTGTAGAGCCGAGGCCGCTCGCATCTACTGTAGAGCCGAGGCCGCTCGCGTCTACTGTAGAGCCGAGGCCGCTCGCGTCTACTGTAGAGCCGAGGCCGCTCGCGTCTACTGTAGAGCCGAGGCCGCTCGCGTCTACTGTAGAGCCGAGGCCGCTCGCGTCTACTGTAGAGCCGAGGCCGCTCGCGTCTACTGTAGAGCCGAGGCCGCTCGCGTCTACTGTAGAGCCGAGGCCGCTCGCGTCTACTGTAGAGCCGAGGCCGCTCGCGTCTACTGTAGAGCCGAGGCCGCTCGCGTCTACTGTAGAGCCGAGGCCGCTCGCATCTACTGTAGAGCCGAGGCCGCTCGCATCTACTGTAGAGCCGAGGCCGCTCGCATCTACTGTAGAGCCGAGGCCGCTCGCATCTACTGTAGAGCCGAGGCCGCTCGCATCTACTGTAGAGCCGAGGCCGCTCGCATCTACTGTAGAGCCGAGGCCGCTCGCATCTACTGTAGAGCCGAGGCCGCTCGCGTCTACTGTAGAGCCGAGGCCGCTCGCATCTACTGTAGAGCCGAGGCCGCTCGCGTCTACTGTAGAGCCGAGGCCGCTCGCGTCTACTGTAGAGCCGAGGCCGCTCGCGTCTACTGTAGAGCCGAGGCCGCTCGCATCTACTGTAGAGCCGAGGCCGCTCGCATCTACTGTAGAGCCGAGGCCGCTCGCATCTACTGTAGAGCCGAGGCCGCTCGCGTCTACTGTAGAGCCGAGGCCGCTCGCGTCTACTGTAGAGCCGAGGCCGCTCGCGTCTACTGTAGAGCCGAGGTCGCTCGCATCTACTGTAGAGCCGAGGCCGCTCGCATCTACTGTAGAGCCGAGGCCGCTCGCGTCTACTGTAGAGCCGAGGCCGCTCGCATCTACTGTAGAGCCGAGGCCGCTCGCATCTACTGTAGAGCCGAGGCCGCTCGCGTCTACTGTAGAGCCGAGGCCGCTCGCATCTACTGTAGAGCCGAGGCCGCTCGCATCTACTGTAGAGCCGAGGCCGCTCGCATCTACTGTAGAGCCGAGGCCGCTCGCATCTACTGTAGAGCCGAGGCCGCTCGCATCTACTGTAGAGCCGAGGCCGCTCGCGTCTACTGTAGAGCCGAGGCCGCTCGCGTCTACTGTAGAGCCGAGGCCGCTCGCGTCTACTGTAGAGCCGAGGCCTTTATTTATTTATTTATATACAAGAAGGTACATTGGGTTTGTGAGAATACATAGCATAGTATTTACAATCTTGTAAAGCCACTAGTACGCGCAGCGTTTCGGGCAGGTCCTTAATCTAACAGATAATTTTAAGTAGGTAAATTCTAGCAGAATTAATAAAATGATAACAGATACATTGCAAGAAAAAAATGAGATGAGAGAGATTAGTAAGTATATTAAAGCACATTGGTATATTAAAGCTCTGATTGATTACATTGACAGCTTGATTGGTAATTTAAACAAGATTAATAGGCACCATACAGCAGATTGATAGCACATATAAGAAGACAGCAATGATCACAATGGTAAAGATGTTCGGATTGGGTACATAAAGATTGGGAGATTGGGTAGCAATAGATACAGTGCAATTTTAAAGCAACAAGGTAAAAAACTATGAAGATGAAATTAGGTACTTTTTAGTTTTGTTTTTGAATGACGCAAAAGTTGGACAGCTTTTCAATTCATTAGGGAGTGAGTTCCATAGACTGGGTCCCTTTATTTGCATAGAGTGTTTACACAGATTAAGTTTGACTCTGGGGATATCAAAGAGATATTTATTTCTGGTGTGGTGATAATGGGTCCTATTACATCTGTCCAGGGAGAGTTTCAGAGCAGGATTTGCATTTAAGAACAGGGTTTTGTAAATGTAGTTGACACAAGAGAATTTGTGGAGTGAGATTATGTTTAGCATGTTTAGGGAGTTAAACAAGGGGGCTGAGTGTTGTCTGAAAGCAGAATTTGTTATTATTCTGATAGCAGATTTTTGCTGGGTGATGATGGACTTGAGGTGGTTTGCAGTGGTTGAACCCCATGCACAGATACCATAATTAAGATAGGGATAGATTAGTGCATAATATAGTGAGATGAGAGCAGAGTTAGGTACATAATATCTGATTTTGGAGAGTATACCAACTGTTTTAGAGACTTTCTTAGTTATGTGTTGTATGTGGGTGCTGAAGTTGAGTCTCTTGTCTAGGAATAGGCCAAGAAACTTTCCATCATTTTTATTGCTAATGTTTACATTGTCTATCTGAAGCTGAATTGCATTTGTAGATTTGCTTCCAAATAAGATGTAGTAGGTCTTTTCTATGTTAAGTGTTAGTTTGTTGGTTGACATCCATAAGTGGACTTTTTTTAGTTCATTATTAACAACATTATTTAGTGTATGTGGGTTGGGGTTAGAGTAGATGAGGGTAGTATCATCAGCAAACAATATAGGTTTCAGAATGTTAGAGACATTAGGCAGATCATTGATGTATATAAGAAATAGGAGAGGTCCCAAGATGCTGCCCTGTGGCACTCCAACGGTTATTGGTAGAGTGGGAGAGGTTATATTATTGATGGCTACACATTGGTGTCTATCACTAAGATAGGATTGGATATAGTCCAGTGCATGGCCTCGGATTCCATAATGATGGAGTTTACGTAAGAGGTAATTGTGATTAACAGTATCAAAGGCCTTTCTCAGGTCAATGAAGAGTCCAATCGGAAACTCATTTTTGTCAAGGGCTGAGTAAATTATATCAAGGAGACTAATAATTGCATCGTTGGTACTCTTTTGGGAGCGGAAGCCAAACTGACAGGGGCTAAGTATGTCAAATTTTACGAGGTAGGAGTAGAGCTGTTTGTAGATAATTTTTTCAAATATTTTTGATAGTATGGGTAGGTTTGATATTAGTCTATAATTGTTTATGTCTGCCGGATTACCTCCTTTTTGAACTGGCGTTTCTCTTGCTTTTTTAAGGATATCAGGGAAGGTATGACACTCAAGGGATTTGTTGAACAGCAGAGCTATGGGTGGCGCAAGGGCATGGGAGGCGCTCTTGTATACAATGGATGGGATTTCACTAACGGTGTAAAGCCATCCTTAGAGAGTGTTATATGGTTGTGGGAGTGTTGTTTAGTTCCTAGGATATTAGAGATGGTATTCCATGTGCTTTTCATGTTGCCTTTTGCTTCTTTGAATCTAGTCTCATAATATGAAAGTTTAGCTTTTCTTATGATACTGGTAAGCACTGGTGAATACCTTTTAACTACCTCCGATGCATGAGAATTTTAGGCCTTACAAACTTACATTCTAAACTTGAAAAGAAATGTATGAATATAATATTAGTGAGCTTCCATACTAATTAGTTAAGTAAACCAAAGATCTCTTACTAATGCGTCCAGGCTTTTACCCAAGGAATTGGTTATTCGAAATTGTTTAAATCTCTGAATTACTGCTATACTGACGTGTGAAATTTTCCTAAAATATAAATTATTTAGTTTTATTAAAGCGACTGAGGTAACCCTAAAGATGTGAACGAAGAATTCGAAATTATGTCGCTTTGGTAATCACCTTTACGAGAGGTAATCACCCTTACGAGAGGTAATCACCCTTACGAGAGGTAATCACCCTTACGAGAGGTAATCACCCTTACGAGAGGTAATCACCCTTACGAGAGGTAATCACCCTTACGAGAGGTAATCACCCTTACGAGAGGTAATCACCCTTACGAGAGGTAATCACCCTTACGAGAGGTAATCACCCTTACGAGAGGTAATCACCCTTACGAGAGGTAATCACCCTTACGAGAGGTAATCACCCTTACGAGAGGTAATCACCCTTACGAGAGGTAATCACCCTTACGAGAGGTAATCACCCTTACGAGAGGTAATCACCCTTACGAGAGGTAATCACCCTTACGAGAGGTAATCACCCTTACGAGAGGTAATCACCCTTACGAGAGGTAATCACCCTTACGAGAGGTAATCACCCTTACGAGAGGTAATCACCCTTACGAGAGGTAATCACCCTTACGAGAGGTAATCACCCTTACGAGAGGTAATCACCCTTACGAGAGGTAATCACCCTTACGAGAGGTAATCACCCTTACGAGAGGTAATCACCCTTACGAGAGGTAATCACCCTTACGAGAGGTAATCACCCTTACGAGAGGTAATCACCCTTGTTAATACTAATATATAATAGTAAATCAATATTTGATTTGTGTACTATTGTTCACCTGTTGTATAAATATATACTGCTGCATCAAGAAATAATAGTTCAATTATAACCAAGTTTTAAAGCCTGTTTTACTTTACCTAAAACAGTTTTAGGTAATAGGTTACCTGGTTGATGGGGTTCTGGGAGGTCTTCTACTCCCCAAGCCCGGCCCGAGGCCAGGCTTGACTTGTGAGAGTTTGGTCCACCAGGCTGTTGCTTGGAGCGGCCCGCAGGCCCACATACCCACCACAGCCCGGTTGGTCTGGCACTCCTTGGAGGAAACAATCCAGTTTCCTCTTGAAAATGTCCACGGTTGTTCCGGCAATATTTCTTATGCTCGCTGGGAGGGTGTTGAACAACCGTGGACCTCTGATGTTTATACAGTGTTCTCTGATTGTGCCTATGACACCTCTGCTCTTCACTGGTTCTATTCTGCATTTTCTTCCATATCGTTCACTCCAATACGTTGTTATTTTACTGTGTAGATTTGGTACTTGGCCCTCCAGTATCTTCCAGGTGTATATTATTTGATATCTCTCTCGTCTTCTTTCTAGTGAGTACATTTGGAGAGCTTTGAGACAATCCCAATAATTTAGGTGCTTTATCGCGTCTATGCGTGCCGTATATGTTCTCTGTATTCCCTCTATTTCAACAATCTCTCCTGCTCTGAAGGGGGAAGTGAGTACTGAGCAGTACTCAAGACGGGACAATACAAGTGACTTGAAGAATACAACCATTGTGATGGGATCCCTGGATTTGAAAGTTATCGTAATCCATCCTACCATTTTTCTGGCTGACGCAATATTTGCTTGGTTATGTTCCCTAAACGTTAGGTCGTCAGACATTATTATTCACAAATCCTTGACATGCTGTTTTCCTACTATGGGCACATTTGATTGTGTTTTGTACTCTGTATTATATTTAAGGTCCTCATTTTTACAGTACCTGAGTACCTGGAATTTATCACTGTTAAACATCATGTTATTTTCTGATGCCCAATCGAAAACTTTATTAATATCAGCTTGAAGTTTTTCAATGTCTTCAGCCGAGATAATTTTCATACTGATTTTTGTGTCATCTGCAAAGGATGATACGAAGCTGTGACTTGTATTTTTGTCTATATCTGATATGAGAATAAGGAAAAGCAGCGGTGCAAGGACTGTACCCTGAGGTACAGAGCTTTTAACTGCACTTGCACTAGATTTTATATGGTTGACCGTTACTCGCTGAGTCCTGTTTGACAGAAAACTGAGTATCCAGCGTCCTACTTTACCGGTTATTCCAATTGACTTCATTTTGTGTGCTATCACGCCATGGTCACATTTATCGAAAGCCTTTGCGAAGTCCGTGTATATCACATCAGCATTCTGTTTCTCTTCTAATGCCTCAGTGACTTTGTCGTAGTGCTCAAGTAGCTGTGAGAGGCACGATCTTCCCTATAGACTATATTGATGAATGTGAAACCGTAAAGGACTTTAGACCTCCTGGCCTATTGTACCACCAACTGTGTAACTATTTTATTGACTCAGGTGTTCTGGACGACATCCTAACAATTTACCCAAAATTTGCTTGTCCATTTTAAAGAATGAAGAACAATTTCTACTTATATTCTAAGCTGCATCACTTATGAACCCATCCCTGCACTTGTGTGGCAGTGCACAATAGAAAGTTGTTTTCACATATCCACACATTAAAACATTGATTGTAACCGTGATATATATGTGCTTCAGCCTACAGTTTAGGCCTATTGTCTTATGTATGACCCTCTGTCCTGCGTGACAGTGAATACTAGCATTAACCTCAATTTAATAAGACTATCAAAATCCTCAGATTAGGCAAAATTGTAATTAATTTTGTCAATAAAGATGTTAATAATAATAATCTGTTTTTCTTCTAATGCCTCAGTGACTGTCGTAGTGCTCAAGTAGCTGTGAGAGGCATGATCTTCCCGCTCGAAAT